CAGAAGTCGCTGGGAGGGAACGCTCAGCGGAGCAAAGAAAGTGAGTCAAATAAAAAATAATAAATTGCACACGTCTTGAATGTGGAATAAATAAACGGGATCAGCACAAAAAGGAGGTGAGTAAACCTGCAGTGTGTGTGTGTGTGTGTGTGGCTTCTCCCTCTAAGATCCACAAACGTCGCCTCTGCAAAGCTATATCAAATGAGATTATTATTTATTATTATTATTTTAAAAATAAATAAATAAATAAATAAATAATTGCTGTCCAGATCAAACTGTCCCTCCTCATCTCACACAGCCACCCTCTAACTTATAACTTCAACCCCAATCAGAAACTCACTTGGCGCAGGTCACAATTCCCACAAATGTATGTGACCCTGTTTTTTTTTTGGATGCAGATCTGACACTCCCAGTGCAGAGCTGGGGTGCGCTACATTTGTCAGAGGTGCCGCCCTTCGGATGAGCCTAAACCAAGGTCCTATCCGTCTGTTCAGGTGGATGGATGTTAAAGATCCCGCAGCACTATTCGAAAAGAGAAGGGAGTTTCACTCTCCCCGCGTCCTGGCCAGCAATTCCCCACATAAAATCGGTCCCTCACTCTATCTACGGTTGTTTGTGGGTCATCGCTGTGGTGCAAACTGGCTGCCCCGTTTCACCCACGAAATACAGTCACTCACTTGTCCTGTGAAACGCTTTGAGACGCCTCAACGAAGTGGTAAGGCGCTATATCAAATGAGATTATTATTATTTTAAAAAAGCCCTTTTCCCCATGATGCACATTATTTCAGAGGTTTATCTGAGTTGGGTGGGGTTAGTGTTGGGTAATGTAGCCGCAAGGCACCGGCTGTGCAGAGTTCGCTTTACTGTCGGACTACACAGACCCCTCCAAGCCGTCAAACGAGCTGAGTTTCAGAACTGCTTATAAACGCCCTGAGACTTTTAAAAAAACATCAGCCTTTAAAACCCACGTCCCATCCACAATCTTCAGAAGGTAGTAAACTGCCTGAAGAGCTATGCAAAGAATGTCTGAGTGGCACAGTTTATGATGAGAAGCTGTGAGTGCAGACCCTTGTCAGTGACTGATGTACTGGAATATTCACGTGAATTTGCGGATATTCGCAAACCAATGTCAAACTAATAAATCGTCCTGAGAGCCAGACAGAAACCCTTCACTCAGGAGAAAGAGCTGTCACTGTTAAAGCCCCCTCTTCCCCCCTCCCTCCCTGCCTGCCTCAGTAAATTATTTCTGGTTAAACAAATTTTGGTAACATTGACTCGGTTAAATCCAGACATGCATTTAATAACACAGCTCCTGAAGATCTGGGGGTGTTTGCGCCCATTCCGTGTCTGACCTGCTGCAAATCTCTCCAGTGTGTCAAGAGCCGCTGAGAGAGGTAACTGCGCTGGTTCACGCTGCAGGTTATATATCATTCGTGTGAGCGCTCATTCAACCCTGCAATGAATCCCGGTTATTTCTGGTGGGCTCCAGTCCTGTGAACACAAGCCCCTGTGGGCTGTTTATCTGGGTTTGTGAGAGAATCACCGCAACCACGTTAACGCTTCTCGTGTTTCCATTCCTCTCCGAATCACCTTGAGACGCGCAAGAGATGTTGAAAGTCGCCAATATTTTGATTTGATTTATTATGATTTGAGCTGAAATCGAAAGAGAGAGAGAGTTTGTTGTGAGGTTTTATGCTGGGATCTTTTGCGATGCGATTGGAAACCACTGAATAAGGGAACATCCTATTTATCCTGAGACTAGCCCCTGGACCGCATCTGCTCAGTGGTTGAATGCAATGGAACAGGGATCAATCTCACCTGGGACTGCAGTGCTGGGGGCACGATTAGCCTGACCATTGAGAGACACTAAGTGTCTAATCAATAAAACAATCAGCCCTTAATTCCTGCTCCCCATTGGTATCCAGGGAATTCCCTCCTGGATGTGGTAATGACTAGGTGTGGGCAGGTTCAGGGTTGGATATAATTAAATCCCATGGTGAAATGGGTAACCTGCTGGGGACCAGTTTTTCTAGGGTCCCATGTGGAGAACAGTTACTGGTGCAAGCTTCAGGATGGTGCCTTCGGCTTATCAAACTACATGCATCTTCAGGAGGTAGAGAGGTAAGGGGCAGAGATATAAGAGTGATCAAATCTATATCATATTCTCTTTCACCAGTCTTAAGCTTTGTTAGTTCGAAATAAATTTGGAGCTCCCTCAGGGGCTCCATTGATAAAACCCCTGACTTGTGTGAGATAGCCATGCAGATAGGAGGTGTCCAATATTAAATTTCTGCTATGTGGAGAGTTAGCTGAGTTCAGTCATGTCTACGCCAGCAAATATAAAAATACATGTACCACTGTGTTTGTTCTAGATCAACTGTGTACTTTGTGGGGATTGGGAGTTCATCAGCTGTCAGTCCAGGCTGAAAGTACCAGGCAGTACTGGGGGAGTGTTGCATTATAAAAGTTGAGATTGCAGTTTAAGGAATTTTAGAGCCAAAGATGATCCTCTCTTAACTATGTTGTGAAACTGAGCTCCTCTTTGCATGTACAGGTGGATTTGAAAGATCCCATCACACTGTTCATAAAGAAAAGGGTGTTTCTCCAATTAATTGACCAAGAATCCTCCACATAAAATTGATTGTTCACTTTGTGATTTTCTGGGACGTTGGTGTGCACAACTTGTCTGCCTTTGTTTACAAATTACAGTCATTCTACTTGAAGCACTTTAAGACACTTTTAGGTAAAATTAATTATAGGTAACATTTCAAAAGGAAGTGTTCGTATCCGTAGCAGGAAAATGAAATATCCAGCATTTATATGTATCAAATATGCATTGTTTTTGAGGCAAAATCATACCTGGACAGCAATTGTTCCCACTTTGATGTATCTGGCAAGAGTTTACATTGCAGCAAAAGAAATGGGGCAGTGTATAGAGTCATTATGGAAGAAAGATATCTGAAGGTAAAGTGGTAGAACTCTCGCCTTTGAGTCAGAAGTTGTGGGGTCAAGCCCCACATCGGGACTTGGAATCACATCGTCTAAGCTGACACTTCAGTGCCGAGCTGGGAGTGTGTTGCATTTTCAGAGGTGCCGTCCTTCAGATGAGACATTAAACCGAGGTCCGATCTGCTTATTCAGATGGATGTTTAAGATCCCATGGCACTATTTGAAAAGAGAAGGGAGTGGGTCCTTGTGCCTCAGCCAACAATCCCCCAAATAAAAAAATTTGGTCATTCACTCCTTGGCTGTTTGTGGGACATTGCTGTATGCAACCGGCTGCTGCATTTTGCCACAAAATAAACAGTCACTGCACTTTACAGTATATCCCGTGGAGTGCTTTGAAACAGTTCAATGATGTGATAAGGCACTATATCAAAAGCAAGTATTATTACTATTAATAATAATAAAGATGTTTTTAAGCAAAAACTAAATTAGGTGAGAGAGACAGGAGAAGAGGAAATGGTGTTTTGAGTCTCAACTTAAGACTCCAATTCAGAGGTGAATTGGAATCCTAAATTGAGTGGATTTGAGAATACAGAAACGTATGAAATAAAATAGATTTTGAATTTCTCTGAAGATGTATTGGAGGTTATAAATATGCTGATTTTTTTATTATATAATGTACTTGTTAAGTTTAAAGTAATACATACAATGTAGTGGGACTCCACAAATTGTCAAGGAGTTTCACCCACAAAATATACAGCCAATTCAGTTTACAGTATATCCTGTGAAGCGCTTTAAGATGTCTCAATGGCATGATAAGGTGCTATATTATTATTAATGAGTTGGCAGATACTGTCTTTCAGTACAGTTTGCATGTTCCTTTCATAATACTGTAGATGTTAGTCTCAGCCCTACCAAAAAAAAAAACTCAAAGTTAGCAAGCTTCTATAGTGGTCAAGAGAGATATTCAAAACAAATTTAATTCCATGCTTACTGATGGCTTGGGGAAAAAAGAGAAATGTGGCCAAACTAACTACAAAGGTCATATTCGGACAACTCCCCTTGTGCACAAGTTCTGGAGTCAGCAGTTTGCCAAAAAGCACTCTGCCAGATTCCTGCAGGAAGGTAACTAACAGAACAGAATCACATTCAAAACGCAGCACAAGTGATGAGATCCAGAACAACCCCTCAGCAAACACTACATGCTCTGGAGGACTATCGAAATGGAGGTACAATATGTTTTTGTATCACAGTAAATGTCTTTTATGACTGTTTTTGTTTAAGAAGACATGGCCAGATCCAAAAGAATGTAGATGGGTACCTATGTTATTGCCAAAAACCCATTACACAGAGTGATTCACTTTTAATAAAAAAAAGTAACCACAGTTTCAGTCAATGTTGACAAAACAACTGGCAGTGTAAATATAAACTTGCAAGGAATCTTTCAGGCTCCCACATAATTGACATGTCTAAAGGTATAATGGAACCCCCCCCCACACACACCCACACCCCCCCCCCCCCCCCCCACACCACACACACACCCACACCTCCCCCAACCCCCCCACACACCCACCCCCCCCCAACCCCCCCCACACACACCCACACCCCCCCAACCCCCCCTCCCCACACACACACACACACCCACACCCCCCCAACCCCCCCACACACCCACACCCCCCCAACCCCCCCCACACACACCCCACACACACACCCCCACACACACACCCCCACCCCCCCCACACACGCCCAACCCCCACACACACACACATATATCTCATCTCGTCCGCAATCTCATATTGCGATGTGCATTTCAGATCTGACCTTTTTCAGACGACAGACAGGAAAACAGTAGTGTTTGGGTGTCGGGTCTACGGGTCTACGTAATGTAGAGTCCCAAATACGTGTATATATATATATATAATAGTGAAATTGGGCAGATCGCGACTCCGCGTTAATTATTTTTGTTATTAACCAGACAGACCCTGTTAATACATATATATCTCCTACACCTTACAGTCCCCCGATTTTAAAACTGCTCTCGCCTTTGGCTTTAGGGGGTCCCGGGTTTTCTAACCTGTCCTCCAGACAGAGATCAGGATCGGAACGTGGAGGAGGTAAGAACCACAGATAAACCCCAATAATAATGATGTACTATTTATTCCTGGTCACCCTGATATGTGTGTGTGTGTATCTCTCTCTCCCTCTCTCTATATATACACACACACACACACACACTAATGTAGTGAGATTATAAAGTGCTTCACCAGCGGGTTAATAGGTGTCGATGTCTATAGTTTGTTGGTGTTTCTGACATACATGTCTCTGTGTGTGTGTGTGTGTGTGTGCTTGCGTGTGTGTGTGTGCTTGCGTGTGTGCGTGTGTGCTTGTGTGTGTGCTTGTGTGTGCGTGTGTGCTTGTGTGTGTGCGTGTGCTTGTGTGTGTGCGTGCTTGTGTGTGTGCGTGTGCTTGTGTGTGTGTGTGTGTGCTTGTGTGTGTGTGTGTGTGTGTGCTGTGTGTGTGTGTGTGTGTGTGTGTGCTTGTGTGTGTGTGTGCTTGTGTGTGTGTGTGTGTGTGCTTGTGTGTGTGTGCTTGTGTGTGCGTGTGTGCTTGTGTGTGTGCGTGTGTGTGTGCTTGTGTGTGTGTGCTTGTGTGTGTGTGTGTGCTTGTGTGTGTGTGCGTGTGCTTGTGTGTGTGCGCTTGTGTTTTGCTCCACGAGATGCAGTGACGAACTGGAGCTTCGAGAGCCCCACATACCAAGAGCTGAAATCCGAGATCACGGAGATCCCCGCCTCCAAACTGATCCCAGAGGGCGGCTCCAGCGCCGACAGCTCAGCCCCCGGGGCACAGGGCTCAGGTACAGCGCACCTTTAAACATTCAAACACAAATTGCACCCCCTCAATAAAGCCCTTTTAATAATAATAATAATCCTTGCATTTGATATAGCGCTTTTCACATCAGGAGGACGTCCCAAAGCGCTTCACAGAACACACTGTAAAGTGAATTGACTGTATATTTGTGGGCGAACGCGGCAGCCAATTGCGCACAGCAATGTCCCACAAACAGTCGTAGATTGAAAATGACCAATTTATTATTGGTTTTGGAGGGATTATTATTAGGCTCTGTGTGGAGTAAGGAAACTTGCCCAAGGTTTCGCCCTGACCTGCCGGGAATTGAACTCAGGTCTCTCGCTTACAAAGCGAGTGCTCTAACCACTGAGCTACAGGACTTTTCTGTGGACACGACCAAAAAAGCCTTCCTTACTCGGGGAGACAACGTCCCGTAGAACCGGGTTCACTGTTGGTTTGCGTGTGCGCTTATTTATTTATTTATTAATTTATTTATTAATGAATTTATTTATCAATTGATTTATTTATTTATTATAGTATTTTTTTTTCCACGAGTTCTTTACCGTTCGCTGCAGCGCCGTTTTGAATTTCTGTGGCACTTAAAAAAAATGTCCAGTTAAGGCAAACCAACCAGAAAGGTGGCGCCGCAACACTTCTTGCACTGCAGACGCTGGAAATGCTGTTTGGAAGCAGCAGCTGAGGCAGGGTCAGTCCATAACCAGCTTCCAAAAGCAAACTAAATATAGCTTAAAAAAAGGAGCAAACTGCAGTGGCTTAGGGGAAAAGGGGCAGGTAAATAATTGGGATTGGAAGGATTACTCTCAAAAGAGCAAGTGCAGACATGATGGGCCAAATGTCCTGTGCTGTATGGTGCTGCGTTTGTGTGGAAAGCTTTGTGCAATGTACATTATGTAATATAGAATTGCATATAATTAATTACATCGTACATTATGTGTGCAAAGGCGAGGCTGTGTCGAAAATCCATAAGCTTTAAACCGAGGCTGAGGCACTTCATTCCTTTTCAGTTTTTGTGTACTTTTTATTTCTAAAATATAATTGCTTTGAGGAACCTGTGCACATTTTTGTGTGCTGGGTAGTGGAGCTCGGCATTGATCTTATTTGCACATGTTTAGAGCTTTTCCCAGACAAGTCGCCTCCAGCAGTAATACGACTGACAAATACAATGCATTGTACAAAGTATACGTTTGAAGAACTTCAACAGAAACTTAAGTTTTTTTAAGCCAGAAGGAACCACATCAATCACAAGTAACATTTAAAATAGTTGAAAGCCCCACTTTGACAACCATCAGTTTGTGCCTTTTGTACACTGATATGAGAGCAAGACAGTGAAATGCTTTTATTTGTCCTTTCAATTCCCACCTTTACTGTATTGAGTAGTTTTATTTAAGGATGGATAGAATTAAATAGAAACTAAGTTTCAATAGAACATTTGCCTGTAAAATAATCTACACTTTTACAGTAAAAACCTGGTGGGTGCTTTGAGATGTCCTGACATCAAAGGCAAGATTATTAGTTAATCTTGTGATCTTGAGCCACATTTCCAATCTCCCCTTTGTACCAGATTATTGGCACGATAAATAACCGAAGCCTCTCTGGAACTGAGCGTTCCAAGTGGACATCAAATTATCCTGGGAGCCAGGCGTGTGGGTACTTGCTCATTTCAAGACCCAAATTATTTAAGGTTACAGCTAGATGATTTGTGGAAAATAAGTGCCCGTTTTTACATTACAAAATAATTTAAGTGCTTTACTAGATTTTATCTCTCACCACTGTAGATTGTGGGGCGCTGGAGTCAGTAGGAGAACCAGTTACATTCCGTAAAGCCGACACATTTGCTGGCAGATATGGAGTTTGGATGAAGGATCCTGAACCTGTACCACCTCATACTCATGACTCCACCTGGAGGATCAACGCTGTTGGAACTGAAGTACGCCAGCTTTTTGAGTATAATGACCTGGATCAGTTCATGAAGGGCTACCCTAGTAAAGTTTATGTACTACCAGAATTAGTAGAAAGCACAGGAGGGACCATCTACAGAGGGTCCTTGTATTACCAGAAGCGCAAGTCACGAGTCTTGCTGAGGTACGAGATGAAAACGGAGACCATTGTTGCCCAGAAGGAGCTATCCAACGCAGGATTCCGAGGAGTATTCCCTTATTCGTGGGGTGGTTACACAGACATTGATTTTGCTGTGGATGAGCAGGGACTTTGGGTGATCTACAGCACCAATCAGGCTCAAGGGGCCATTGTGATCTCCAAACTGGACCCCCGCACTCTGGAAATCGAGAGAACCTGGACCACCAGTATCCGCAAGAAATCAGTTGCCAATTCCTTCATGATATGTGGGACTCTCTACACATTGAGCAGCTATTCTATACAAAATGCTTTCATCAATTTTGCCTACAATACTAATACAAACAGCAGCATGGTACTGAAAATCCCATTTGAGAATCGCTACCGGTACAACAGTATGACAGATTACTATCCAGCAGAGAAAAAGATCTTTGCCTGGGACAATTTCAATATGGTTATGTACGACATTAGGCTTTCCAAAATATGAAGGGCTAAAGGCCACTTCGCTCATGGACAGCAAGTGCTTTAGTTTCTTTAGAAAAATTAAACATTACTGATAGTTATAACAGCAGTATTTTGTGGACTAATTCCAGTACAACTGGAGATGACCAGCTTTAATCAGCAGTTGAAGTGAGCATTTTGGGGAGCAATATAAATGATGGATGCATTTGACTATTCTTGGAAATTTTATATTGCAATTATGTAAAATGCATACTGTAATACAGTAGAAGACTAATTATGTTCTCTGGCTTGTAAAATCGACTAGTCATTATAAACAGATACATTTAATAGGAACTGAACATTTTGCAACTTTTAGATTTCCATCCAGACATTTAATGTGGCCGGCCAAGTGCAGAATCATGAAACTGATTGCTTCAGTTAATGAGCTGGAAATTGTTTTTAAATGATTTAATACGACCACATTTTTCAGCAATAAAGTCCTGAGCTTTTAAAATTTGATACCAACTTAGAAGCAAAACACACCCAAACGAACAATAACTAGTATGTCACAGCAATCTGCAGAGAACGGTCATCTAAATACGAACCTCAGCTTTGTAATGCCACTCCCAAATATGGAACTTTACACTGTAAAGAGAATTACTAAAACATTTCTAGTTAGATATAAAACAGACAATAACCAAGACAATTGTGCATTTTTTTTATATATACTGCACCACTCATATTTTCTATCAATATCAGTTTTGCGAGCTGGGCTAATTACACGTTTGGAGTGAGATAAAACAGGTTTCATCCTCAATTTAACAGCTGTCCGAGAATGAATAGCTGCACCTTGTACCTAATGCATTTTCAGCTTTCAAAGTACTAGCACTGAATTTTCTATTTACCTTTGTAAAATAAAGCCGTTGAACATGGTATGGATTGTTATTGTACTTTTTTTTTAACAAGATTACATTTGTATAGCGCCTTTCACGTCGGGAGGTTCAGCAGTTTAACCGAGATTTGTGTGCGATGTAGTGTGTTGGGGGTACCAACTCATGGGACCTTACACCAGCAAGTTTCCTTTAAGAAGTTTTAAAAGCAGGATATTTACACGGATCAAAGTTTAGATCTGACAAGATGATTTGCCCACCCAGCCAAATTCTTACACATCTTGTGAATTAGAAAGTTTGCCAGGAGGGTTCATATACAAAACTCTTATACTTACACAGTATGAGCTAACTGGTTTTACCAGTAGATTTAAGATATCAAACACCATGATGATTACCAAGATACCCATCTTGTACACAAGAGACCATTCAGGGGTCTGTTACAGATGTAGGTTTGATATACAATATTGTGCTAAATAGATCAGAGTAGATTACAAACGTGTGGGACAAAAAAGCAGCAGTGGTAAGAATCTAAAAATTTCAGAGCATATTTTTATTAGTTTATGTAACCAAACCAAAGAAATTGTAAATAAGACCGTACATATTTAAGTGCATTAACCCTGTACAAATGAAAAATTTAAAGTATAATATTTCTATACCAATATGGCTGTTAACATTTGTACAATGCCAAATGAATACACAGTACAGGCGGAATACAAATCTTGAAATCAGACGTCACAGCTGAGTTTTCAAAGAAAGCAAATAAAAATGACTCGTCAGAACACGATTGATGGCGAGCCAGGTTTCCAGCATTCACTCACTCACCCAACCTCACCAGCCGTGCGACAAAAATATACAGATCAGAAAATCAACCTTAAACTTGCACTTTCTGCCAAAGGACTTGACTACCAAGAACAGCAATCCTTTTATCATTTTGTACCTTCATTAGCATTTTATCTATTTTTGTCAAACATGGGTAAGAATTATGTAATAAAAACACCTGTGTTGATAGCACAGTCACTAATTACTGATTGATCATAAGCAAATAGACAAGATATCTTACATTCACATAGTATAATATAGTACATCCTACAGCTATAATACTAGCATATGATCAAAAAAGGCAATATTAGACTTGTGATTAAATTGGGTTGCACCAACACAATGTGAAAGTAATAGGTTACAATAAAAGGAGATTAAACCCCTTTGTAGGTCTTTACTATAATTCGCTGCTTTGTTTCTGGAAAAACTTATTTTTGCTACAGGATTATTAAACACTCACCTTAAAAGTGTAAAACTGGTCAGTCACCATTCTCTGGCCCCTTACACCTATTTGCAGTGATTATCTCAAAGAAAATACCACACAAGTCAGACATTGCCTTTTTAAAGATTTTAATCGTCAAGACTCAAGTCAACACTAAGATTTTATCATAGGATTAGTTTACACAACCAGGCCTCTGGGCTCTCAAAATAATGATCCATCAGTTTTATCGAATAGTTCAGGTTTCACTTAAACTACTTCACATATCAATTTCTTGGTTACAAAAGAAATTTCATTTGGTGCTCTCTCTTGCTCTTTATCTCACAGAGAAGAGCCCCCTTTTCATCCTATAGATGTTTATTACAGCTAGTCTGTTCCATATATCATTTAAGATTTAGTTTCCTCTGGTTTGACTACCTGAGGTTTGATTGGTCCAGTTCGAACGGGTTTTGATGGTGCAGCCGGACTTGGATTTTCTTTGTCTTCAGGTTTGTCTTCTCTGCTGATCGGCGCTTCGGTTCCACTCTCTGCTGGCTTACTGCTCTCAGCTTTCTGACTTTTGCTCACCGTCTGCTTTATGTGCTGCTGCTGCTGCTGCTCAGAGAAGAACTTCTGTGTGGATTGAAGCACCTCCGCCCGCTGCTTTGCCTTAAAATGGAGATCATTAGATTATGAACAAGCTCAGTCACTGGAAAGGTTAAGGCAAAAACCACACTTACAAATCAATCCTTCACAAAAACACAGAAAAGATCTAAGAAAAGTGAGCAATCTTCAAAGAACTCCTCAACCGATTTAGGTGGCCTTGGAAATCAGAAAGTAAAAAGTAATCAGCTGTGTCAAATATAACAGCAATTTTAGAGTGGGTTTTGAAGAATTTGCATCGGCAGTATATATAAAAATAAAATTTCTAAACTTCGGAATGATGTGCTGTGAATGAGAATACAAATCAATAGATCAACATGGCAAAAGCTTATAAAACACTCACAAATATCACTTTGTGGTGAAAGCTTCTACATTTTCAGGCTTGAATATCCATACGATCCTAGATTATGCAGGCTGTGATCATTTGTTTTGGGCATTGTATATAAAAAAAAAGTTTTTCAGTCTAGCTTATTTCTGGCTCCCAACCTGCACACACCATCCATATCCCCTAGAATTCTCCCTGTGGCTATTGGTGCCATATCTGTAGTTCAAGGCTAATTATATAGATCCTTTGTGTAAAGAACCTCTTTGTATAATTTCGCCACTTAGGATTCGTTGAAGATCAGTAAGTGCTTAGCATTTTGTTGAAGAAAATCCAAGCATAAATCGTGGAACAGCGATTAGGTGTGGGTGAAGGGTGAGGGAAGGAAAGAAAGGCATCACCACCATTATGGCAGATAATTCAGGTCTGATGTTAGAATGCATCTGATGCAAACCTATTCAAGTCTATTCACAGGAGAAAATGGAAAACTCGAATGTAAACAGTACATTACCAATGAGGGTTTTAAACATCCTGCCAATTTGTGCACCAGAATATTGATGCATTGATATAACTATATAAATGCTATTATAAAATTCTCGCAGTACACAAAGGTAACTGTCATTCCCAATGTCAGTGATGTCTATGTTGGCCTAAACTTAATGGAAAATTTAACGTTTTAGATGAAAAACAAGTCTTATAAAACTGTGTGCACAGTCCAACTATCCAGGGTGATATACCTTCTTAAGACTCACTTAGTGAGTCTTTCATGAAGTGTCGAGGTTTCTGGTATACAGGGGGTCACTCGTACAAAACCCAAAGACATTCACGTGTGATTATCACAGCAATTCTAACCTTCAAATCTTGTTCAGCCTTCATTGCCGCCTGGGCCTGATTTCCACGGATTCCCTGGGTGGGTCCAGGAGGAAGCCTTGTTGTGTGCTGAGGGCGAGCATGGCAGATGATACCTGCGGTCATTTGGGGTTGCATCTGATTTGCCAGGGGCATTGGAGGCCGCTGGATAGGAGCTGAGAAAGTATTTCCGTGAGGTGCTCTTACCAGTGGAGGGACCAGGTTGGGTTGGGAAAGCATCTAGTGAAAACAATTTCAAGGAATGTCACTCATCTGCTGGATGGACCATTATTTTAAATCCACTGGAAGGATATCTCAAAATTATTTAAATGTGCTAATAAACAGTTTAAAATAGATGCCAGTAAAAAAAAAAGCGATCTCATAATTGATGCATATCCCCAGGACAAAATAAAAATGGTAATAATCCTTGCATTGTTATAGCGCTATATCACGTCATTGATGCGTCTCAAAGTGCTTCACAGAATATATTGTCCAGTGGATTGACTCGGCTATATTTTGTTGGCAAAATGATGCCAGTTAAGATGCTACAATTTGGCCTAATGCTCCCTAGGCTAGGGAAGTGTTTAAAATTAAGGGTTTTCATATCTGATTTCTACCTTGTAACCCCCAATAGCCTACTGACTCTCACCATTTAAACGTCCTAAAGAATGGTCACTCATACAAGGTCCAAGAGCAACGCTGTTGGCTCACAGAACTATACCTGAAGCAGGAGATATTAGTGTAAGGACCGGAGGAGAAAAGGTTGAAAACTGGGGAGAAAAATGTAACCTTGCCAGATGTTTTAACCAAGTTGATAAAAGTAAGCATTTGACAGCCTGAGTTTCAGATGTAGATCAAGCTGGGTAACTGGATTATTAAATGTGCTAATAAACATTTTAAAATAGTAATATCCTATTGTGCATTACTGGATGGTATTTAGTACATTTATCCCATCTTAGTTAACACAGGGTATTTCAGAAATTAAATGTTCAAGATGTCTATGTCAGTCTACACCAAAATGTTGAGGGTTTCATCACAGCACTGTCAAGATCTCTTTCTGCATTTGAACTGGACAAACAAGTTGGAATTTCAAACTGCAGTGATTACAAAGCTATATATCCAATTCAATCTGGTTTTAACAATCAAGAAAAAAAATGGAAAGCAAAACCAGAAGGAACAAGGTCAACCCATAGCATGCTTCAACTAAACTTGAACAAAATGTGCAAAAAGAACAGGAACAAGAAAAATGAGATACTTAAAATTAGAAGAGCTTAGCAGTAATAGCAGTAATTATAGCAATAGAGACATAGCTGATTTCAGTAGTTTTATTACTGCAATGAGTAACATTTGTGTTGACATCTTATTGAACAAACTGATCTTACAAAACAGTTTGGCCCAGTGAGAAAATTCTCCACATCTAAAAAACACCAGATTATAGTAATACCTCATCCAATAGGCGCCCTTAAGAGGCAAAAGAAGAAGAGGTCTCGCTGTTCAGGCCACTTTTTCATCTAAAGCCAATGGTGAGCAACAGTCTAAATTTACTATTGAGGGCGCCAACCGTACTAACAAAGGCAAAATAATTCAGGTATGATGAATTATTATTAGACTGCCATTAATGGTGCGCTTGCACTGTCTCAGTCCAATTTTAGGTACTGTTGCAACCAACAGTCAATGTATTTTATTGCTGAATGGGAATGAGAGGAAAACACCAAGTGCTTGAAAGAAATGGTGCATTGCAATTGATGGTCAGAAAACAAAAGATTAAAAACTGCTAAAAACAAAATCTTTACTATGCAAATTTTCAACACTTAACTCAAAATCATTTGAAATATTTAAACAAAAAAAAGATTTTAATCTTTGTGTACCTGTGGTGGGAATTGTGCGGGGAATGGTTGGGTCATCCGAACCCCTGCCATGTTGGAGAACTGCTTCTGATAGATCATGTTGTTTATCTTGCTGGATTGGCTGTTCGGGCTGGTGGAACTGGTCCTAGAAATGGGATCAATTCAAAATTGTTTCAAATAGCTCATTAGCTTCACACAGCTCGATTCAACTGCAGAGGTTAGGGCTTGAATTTCATATTTAACCAACACATTTCTAATTAACTTTTTGGAAAGGGTTGCAACTCGAAAGGTTCAATACCAACATTAAGGAAAAGCTGTTAACTAATGACAGGACATCAAAAAGAGAATCTTTATGTAATGAATATGCAATGCTTTTACAGGGTGTGGCATCTTGGGTTTTACCTGAACGGGCTGGAGGTTGGGGTGTTGGTTCGTATATTGATTGGTGGTGTAACTGGTTTCATATCCATACCGCTTCCAAAAGGCTTCAGATCCATATCGCTCATCTGAAATAACAGAAAATATTAATTTAGATCAAACTAACTTGTTTTAGAAAAGCTTTTTATATTTTTTTTGTAAAATGCGACAAGGCCTTTTACTCCAAATGCAAAGCTCAAGATAAAATCTGGAAACAGATGAATGAACAATTTTACAGTGGGTTTAAACACACACACACACACACACACACACACTGTGATTCGCTGCTGGTCAGACCCCCTCATGTCACACCTTGCCTGCTGCAGACATCATGCCAGCTTGGTGTCCAGTTGCAATTAGACCTCTGAAAGATTGGTTGACTTGCGCTTGTCTACTCATGCTCTGAGCTTGGGCTTGTGTTTGAGTGTGCTGTATAGCTTGTAGAGACTGTGGTAAAGCAATCAGGGGTTGCCCTGTGGATCCAAAGTTTGGCATGGAAAGCTGTGAACCTGGCATAGGTACAGTCATCTGGAGAATAGAAACAACAGGTTTTAACATTATTATCAACAGTCCCAAACATTACCCAGTCAAAAAGCTTTAGTTTCATTTGAACCACAAAGTATCTCCTTCCACATCCGCTACACGGTCAATGCCCAACTATGTGGTTCGCTTTTCCGCGGATAATAATCCCTTAAAAAAAATTAAATTGGTCACTTCAATCCACGACTATTTGTAGGACACTGCTGTGCACAATTGGTTGCTGCATTTCATCCACAAAACAGTCAATTCACTTTACAGTGTGTTCTGTGAAGAGCTTTGAGACGTCCCAAACACGTGATAAGGCGCTATATCAAATGCAAGGATTATTATTATTACTACATTATTACAACAATCAACAAGGGCGCCACTTGGAGGCGAGGGTGAGACCTTACACCTGATGTTTCAACCAAAATGAGTTCTCAATCTCAACTGTGCTGACATGGGGGAGGCAGTGCAGAGGCCAGACACTCCTCCATAAGGAATGAAAAAAAATCAGAAGGGTCAACACTCTCTCTTGTGCATTTCTTAATAGTCAGGTAGCCAGCACTGGTAGAAGCCTGAGAGCAGGGCTCAACTGGTTCCCTCAGCTTGCTAAGATGACAGAGCCAGGAAGAGAAGCAATTACGCCCAGTTTTTTTTTGAGAATTAATGACCTATAACTGCAAATAGCAGCTGAATATCAAGAAATCAGATGATGCACATTAATGAGATTGCATTGGCTAATTTTTTTTAAAAAAGTAATTTTAATGTCATCTTGTTGGGTCCTTGATTTTATTTTGATGATTTTGAATCCAAACATGAAAAGTTCTCAAAAATCCTGAAGTTTTTTACCTGTTGTAGAGCAGGGTTGGGTGACTGAGCTGCGCTGTAGTAGTTATTCTGGCCAGGAGGTTGAATCTGTCCTGCGTAGAGGTTGGATGGCTGGGTGAGACCCTGCCTTGCCTAAATTAGAGATATGCAGATCAAGTTAAAGGCGATAATAGGCACATCGCCAGTTGGAATCATTTTAAATGGCATACTTTCTGAAACTGACAGATTAAAAGGGAACTCTACTCTATTGTTAAAAAATAGTAAGCTACTCACCAATGCAATTCTGGTGCCCTGGACAATTTCAGCTTGTATCACAGCAGAATAAAGACACAGTTTTGCAACTCAATAGTAGCCAGATTTCCCAACAAGAGGTAGCTTCACAAATGTGAAGCAAAGATGGGAGAGCTTATTCAAAATACTAGGTTGCAAAATATTGTTCCAATGTAAGTCAAATGACAGTTCTTTGCAAAGAAATATTCTGAACAATGCCTCTCACCTGTGGTTTCTCCCTCCAGGAAGGCTGGTTATGTTGAGCCACAAGAGCAAAGGAAGAAATATAAACTTCCTCGCAGTGAAAAGTAGAATGTTACAAACTGAATTTCTCAGAGATTAAGAAACTTGCACTAGGAGGACAAGGACAGGTGCTTCTATTGAGTAACAAACAAAACTTTTTTTTGACTAGTTACCGCAAAAGAGAGCCATGCATGGCTTTGCCCCCAAGCAACATATTCAGTTAAATTTACAATTAAACTGTGTTTCCAGACAGGGCAAAAGCAAACACTAAAACGTCAAATTATTACAATTCAAAATAAAATTCTCTTTATGAAAATATCCACCATCAATACAGAAAATGTGCATGTCGTCTACTATAAAATATTTCCTTAGTGGGAGTACTTACTTTCCTATGAAAATGCTGAAAGGTATGGTAGTATATATCGTAGTTGCTTGCCTCGGCCTCTCCTGTTCTCAGGCCCTGCACATGCCATTGAGTAGAGTTCCCCTTTAAAAGTAGACCCATGCAATACTTTTGATCATAAATACAGATGGAAAACATTTCAATGCAGTCTACAACATTGCCCTTAGTGACCAAACTAAATGATAAAGACTTTGGTACATACCTGTATTAGATGGGCATCAATAAGCTGAGAACCACCAAGGCCTGAAGCCTGATTTAGTGAATGGTCATAAAGAATGGGAATGGGCTGTGTGTTGGATGTCTGCTGAAATGCCAGACTAGATTGGGCTTTAGCAAGATCTTGGGCTTGTACACCTGGAAAATTATGCAGAGTAGTACCAGAGAGAACGACGGGAGAAGGCGGGGAAAGACTGTTTTGCATGAAAGCCTGTTGAGACCTATGGGAAGAAACAGTGTGGAATACAAATCAGAAATCTTGTTAGGACATTTTGGGAAAATGTTTTCTAGTTGCATCCTAAATATAAAATATTTTTCATTATTAAAATGATCTAGCCGACAAAAACAGTCAGTACTCAGTCTGTGCTGCGTTTCTCTTTCAGAGTTACACATACAGCAATTTTTTTTTTAAAAAAGTATGTAGAGTTGAACCAGTGAGTGCCACTTAACCTGAAGCAAAGGGAGAGAAATGAAATGGTTTGCAGATGCCTCACCTAAAAGGTTGCAAGGAGGTGTTGAACATTTCTTGGGCTTGTGACACTGAAGGGCCTCCTCCTAAGCCCATTTGAGCCTGAGGCGGACTCTGAATCGGTGCATATATTGGTATTGAAATCTGCTGAACTGCAGTTGGCTAAAATGGAAGTTACAGAAAAATAAGTTACAGTAACATCATTCCAAAGAAAACACTTCATCAACACTTGACAAAATACTTACAAAGTACTCTTAACACTAAAACACATTTACTACCAAATAGAATATCTTACAATAATAGACAAGTAATAAGATCCTAAAAGAAACCTACTTGTGAGAGCGCTGTCTGGAAGCCTTGTTGCTGTGCCAGGGAAGGAGCCAGTCGAGGATGTTGTGTACTGAATAGGTGGCTGGTATCCATATAGAAGGTCGGGATCTGACCTGCAGGAACTATAAATTAGATTGAAAAGTTGTTATATAACAAAGCAAAAAAAAACAGAAGGAAGTAATTCGGCCCATCCAGCTTTTGTCAGTGCTAGCCCAATCTAACCAAATAAAGTCCCAATTCTTTATATATTCCCTTTTATATTTACTCATTTTTCAACACAAGATACACTGAGCAAACAGCTTCCTAAGGAGATTTGTGTGGTCCAGTGGGACAGAACATTAATTTTGCCTCTGGAACACTAGCCTTGAATTAACTGACTGACAGAAAACATTCACATTCTAAAATAACCATATATAAATAATATACATAATATACACACAATAATCCATGCCATCACTCGTGTAACAATCTACATACATCAACAAACTACAACCCACTCTGCACATCAATAAAGCAGCAGCACCACAGTTAGTGAAATCAGATTGCCTGATACTTTGGTGTTCATGATTAAGCGAACCATGCTCTCTTACTACATTTACATTGGATGGTTCTACTTTTTTTTGTGTGGGGGTGGGGGAGAAAAGGAAGAGAAGTTTACAAATCAATAGAATGAAACACTGGCTTGGCAACTCAAAGCACGACGACACACTAGGTGCTCCATTAATGCCAAACAATTACTTCATAGTAGCAAAACAGCTTTCAAGCAACTCTTGATCCGAATGACCTACATTTGTCATTATTGCATACCTGCTGCAGATTGGGAGACGTACACCTGTGGGCTCTGCTGCTGCTGGGAAATGAGTGATGGTATGCAGCCCAGCTGGGAGAAGTGGCTTGCAGCAGCCATGTTGCTGGTTTGCATTAGCTGAGGTTTTACTTTACAAATATTGGGTGGGTCTGAGGTGGTCGCCGTTTTCGTACTCAGTGAGGAGGTAGTATACGTCCCCGTTCCTGATGAGACCAGAAATAAACCAGTTCACGACAGCAGCACTTTATGTATGTACAGGTACAATCTGATCTATAGTTCTCTTGCAGTCACTGGCTCCACAAGACAAATGCATAACGAAAACCAAGAGCTCACTATGGGTCAAACTGCCCATAGCTAAGTGTAATTAGCGCATCCCCACATCATTCTGTCCAGAGCATCCGTTAAGTTGTTTTTATTGGAGATGATTAGCTTAACATGAGTTATGAAGAATGGCTGCAAAGGAAGGCCGATGCTCCACAATGAGGTCTGGCGAGGATTCTTTGTTTTATTAAAAAGAATAACTCAAGCTGTTTAGAATTTTATTCCAATTTGTTTTATATTAACACTTTTCCGAACTCTTTTTAACACTTCAAAATGTTGCTTTTAGTATTTTGCAAGCAAGCTGGTGTTTAAATAAAGCCAAAGAAATGTAAAATCAACCCATCATCATCATCGAGGAAACAGCATAAGCAACAGATATATAACTATAGTTACCTGACAAAGGGGTAGTGGGTGTGACTGAGGCTACAGGAATAGGAGGCATGGAAGCACTGGAGAAAGAGCTGTAAGTACCGGTGTTGCTTCCACTACCACTGGTGATTGGTGATGTTGCAGAGGTCACTGGAACACTTTTTTCTCCTACGTTTGGTGAATTTTCCCAGGCCTTCCGAGCGGATTCCATCTTAAACAAAAAATGTGTTTTCTTTTTTCAGCCTTCTTTTACTTAAGATTTCATTTCAGATTTTTGTTTTTCCACTTTAAGAACAGCATCTTGTATAATAACAGTTCATATTTAAAAAGCAGACAAACAATGAACTATAAATAATCATTAACATTTGAAGTACATAAGTAGATAATCGGTATCGAGATGCATCAAACTGAAAAGGATACCTGTAAATTAAACACGAAAGAAAATGAATAGAAATGCATGTTCAACCGCTTGCCTCCACCCTAGTAACAGCGCACGATTTCTTCTCAATTTAATTTCAGCGAATGGGATGCAAGAAATGGAGGAACTTGAATCAATGATTCATACTAAGCAGCAGCTAGATGAACCTTGGAAACAGTGATTCTATACCAACATAGACTTAAACCCAACAATAATGTGACGCGGGTGAAGTGTGGCGCACCAAAGCTTCAATTATTGCATGAAATGAGATGCAGCTTGTATCAAGTCTTTTAAATGTGATCAGTTCATGCTGCACAATGTAGACAACGAAATAAACTGGCAACAGTCATGAAGAAATGGCTACTTGGGATCATCTATACTGGGCTTTATCAAAAATGAATCAATAAGATACCCACAAAATTGACTTCCTGTAAATTTCTAAAGAAAAATGACATAATGCTGCTTTAGTGCTGCCGAAGACATGTCTGTGAAATTATTCAATGAATTAATGAACCAGTTGATGTTCCAAAACATTCTACTCGACAGATATTTTGCTCATTATTGCTTAGATTATTAACCTTTGTTCCACGGACTTGAGGCTTTCATATTTTAGCTTTTTCGATAGAATACTAATGCCTCACAGAGCATCTCCACAGTAAATAAAATGAAGGAATAGTAACCACCAGTATGGACTTACTTCAAGGAAAAGACCAGAAGGGTCTCAAAATCACAGAGATAAGAATGGTGAACTACCAGTGAATGGATCTCAGCCACCGAATGAAGAGAAATGACAGGTCTCAAAAGAGCAGTCTTCCAAGATAAGTTAGTGACAAGAGCTCACATTTGGAAGTATCCAAATTCCTTTCAGAGGTCTCAAAACTAAACAATGTTCTCCCAGAGAACCCAAGTGATACAAGTTTTGTAAAAGTGATCACCCAGGAGAAAAGATCAACATTTCAAGATAAAACCTCTGCTATTGAACAACTTTCTTCACTTCAGATCGTATATTACAATGTATGCTAATTTTGCCAGCTTCAATAAATGCATCTAACATTGCTAACAGTTTTCAAATGCCATTCCAAGTCAATAGCCAAACCATCAGCTGGGTGAAGAACTGAATGAGGAGTGATAACTCTCCTATGAGCAGCAAGATTTGGTAGGCAATGCTTCGTGTTAATGCATGAAAGACAGTTTGAGACCATTAAAAAAATGATCAGACTTGTATACTTCGGTTTGATATTTGACATTGTAACATAAAGTGTATTTGTAGATGAAGGCAGCAGCCAATTTGTGCACAGCAATGTGCCACAAACAGCCATGAAGTGAATGACTATTTTTATTTCAGAGATTGTTAGCCAAGACGTCGGAAGAAACTAGCATCTTTTCAAATGCTGTGGGATCTCAAACATCCACCTGAACAGGCAGATGGGACATTAATTTAACGTCTCATCCGAAGGACAGATTTCACTGTCAAGAGACAGCAAGCTGCTCTCAGTTGCTAAAAACTGGAACAACAGAGTTGAGTGATCAATGCTGTGAAATCTCCATGAAATTAATAGGATCCTCTAGCAATTTTAGCAATCTGTTCCCATGGTGGTGTTGGATGGATGGGCCATTCTACAACAGGTAGAGGTACACAGCAGTGGCAGATTCATGGTCGTGGTCCTGAATGCAGTCAATGGGAATCTTGGTATGGAGATCTGAGCAGACCAATGCTACTGCGGTTTCTGACTGGTCTACAGGCTATTACAAAGTTGCCCTGGTTGTCGTTGCTATCCATTGATCCATTCTCAAAGTAACTCAAAAGCATTTTTGTGCCACTTGCGTAACCATCAAGCAGTTCCTCCATTTGCTCAACGAACACATCTAGTATTTTATTTTTGCCGCCTGTAGTGATTTTTTTGTCACTTAATGTGAAAGCTTCTTGCTTCATCTTTTGGAGCAGTTTCTAAGCACTGAATGTACCAGGTTGAGGTTGGCCTGACTTCCTCTGACTTCGGAGTGGCTAGATGGCACAGGACATCTCTCAGTTTCCTAAAGTATTCGCAGCAACCAATGCAATCCGTTTGTACAGTAAGAAAGCCCAAGGCAGATTTTAAATTTTGAAGTATTTTGCATCAAGGAAATATTGCTCCCATGATAGTGAAGCTCCTCAAATACTTTACATACCAAGCTTAAAACCTTTGAGGGGCTTCTGTGACACTGAGAACTGTGCTGATACAGAAAGGGTAACTGCACAAAGAAATAACAGCACACTTTTAGTTTCTTACCCATGTGGTGAAAAACAAGGACCATTAAGAAGTGTGGGAGTCTGAGTATCACCCAACAGCACACTGTTGAAATGGTCTTCAAAAGAGGCGGTCACTTTTTTTTTTTGAGGTGGAGGGGGGGGGAGAAATCCACAAACCTAGGGTATGTGGAAAGCATCAATAATGAAGCAGCAGCAGCAAGAGGACAAACAGGACTGTACAATTAGAAACAGAAGTTTGGAGTCTTCAAGTTTCAAAGGTGTACAAAATAAATTTACCTTGTGTGTAAAGTGCAGTTGCAATGTTTTCTGCTCTCCACTGCCTGTAGCCATATTACATACATCAGCTAAGTAGATATATTAAGAAGTTCCTACTAATACAGTCTATGATAAGTTTAATGGTCATGGGAGATTTAGGTATAGGTGATGGAAGGCAAAATGTAGGGTAAAACGATGTATAAAATGCATCACACCCAGCTCTCTGCGCACATCAAAATACCCCATAGAGGGATCAAGTACATACCTTGAGGGTGAAGTCGACAGTGGCGGGAGAGACTGGTGTCAGGCTGGAGCTCTGTTGTAGAGTCTCCCTCCTGGGGATGGGAAGGGTGTGGGGCAAGGGCACCTGAAATGCAGGCAACATACATCACACTCTCACTAGAATAGCTACAGTATCCAAAATCGTTCAGAAAAATCCTAAGAACTAATATTTACATTTAATATATTACATGTATAATATATTACATTGGGTAGGATGATTTTAAACTGCACTGAGGTTGCATTAGTAAAGATAAATATTGCACTAAAAAAATGCCACGCAGAGGCTCCTTCAGGGCAGTTATGCAACAAGCACCTGAGCCACACAGACATTGAAGGTTCCAGGTTTCGATCCCTGGCATGTGCACAGTGAGCTAAGCTGGGCCACAGTAGGAATGCTGAAATTAGTCTCAGAGACTTAATTAGGGAGATTTTGACCGACCCTTGCCTTTAAGGCTCTTACATGAATAACAGCCACCTGGACAAAAGTATTGGAGGGCATCCGGTGCTGCGGAACCTAGTAGAAGGAAAATGGATTCAAATGCCTTGGTGGAGGGGGGGGAAAAGGAAGGGGAAACGAGGAAGGAGGGAGAAAATTGGTAAAGTAAAATACTCCACACCAATAAAACAAGCCTATGCCACCTAAACATGATGGCATTTCCTGATTAAGAATCAGAATTTATTTGACCATAAAGTATATTACTTTATGGTAAATGAAGGAAAGAGAATGCCCAGCGGTTTATAAAAGCAGTTTGTCATTGGTGATTCACCTAACAGAAATAAATAAAATTATTTTGGGTTGGCATACTTACATTGCCGACCAGGGCATCATCTATTTTGCCACTGCCTGTTGACACAGGATCGGAGAGTGAAGTTGAAGGAGCTGTGTAGTCAGTTACGGTCTCCTAAAATACAAATCCATCTCCATTTAGATGAGATTTTCAATCCAAATCTAAACAACCGCATTATTTTAAAACCGATTGAATCTCCAGTACACAGAACTCAATTATTGGTTACTCAGTTTATTTCTGACATTACCTTTGAAGAAAATTCTGGAGCTGTCACAGAGAGGATCGTCTTTACTTCAGTACTCAATTCCGTCACTGATTTAGTTTCTTTCGTTACTACAGAATCTGGGCTTCTGACAGTTGCAGCTGGAGTCTTGTCTTTTCCTTCCGTTTCACCTTGCTGGACATCTTTGACCTTTCGGTTTTTCAGTGATCTCTCCTTACCAATGGGGCCAGGTTTATGCTCTTTGCTCTCCACTAGGCTCAAGTCCGGAAGCTTGGATTAAAATGGATAATCAGTAATGGCTACTCAAAAACATATGTAAATGTGCAAATTTTATCCATTAATATAATCTTCATTGTGAAATTACCCAATTATAAAATGTAAGCCTTACTCTGCTGAGCTAATGGCAATATCATGCAAATCAGAAATGTGCTGTGTAGTGCAGTTACTAAAATTAAGCAATCTACGAGCATGCAAGCCAGGTTTAAGCAAATTGTGGACATGCATATTACAAATCCCAACTGTGCTCTTAGTGATGCGTTTTCATTATATTTAAATCTGGGAATTTGCAGCAATGTCTATGTCCAACTGCTTAACTTTATTTTAGATGGAAAGGCTAATGGAGACAATTTATATGACAAGCTCAGGCTTATGATCACCTTTCAGTCAGAAATTGAACTACTTAAAAAAAAAACTACTTACTTTCTGAGCTTTGATTGGACCGGCGCGAGGTTGTTTCTGTCGCTGTTCTTTTGGTTCTGGTAGTTTATTCTCAGTGGCCTTCTCAGCTGGTATCACCTCACTTGCTGGTATAGTAGTGGTGGTGATGGTGGTTGTGGTGTCAGTGACAATGCTGCTGCTACTACTGGCAGTAGTGGCACTAGTTTTCGATGCACCTGACAGGCCAGATTCAGCTCCCAGTTCAATTCCACTTTCCTGATTGGGCTTGGATCCCTATAAATAAAGGAGTTTCAAAAGGCAATCTGTGAACTCTGGCATGAAGTGATTAAGATTCACACAGCTGGTTTTCAAAAACAATTGTGAAAGGGCAGCGTACCATACCCATTTAAGGGCCCTTAAACATACTACATTTAGTGTTACTGCCCTGTAAAACAATATTTTCTCAGTAAAAACCTCCTTTCCGTTAGCTGCCTCATTTATACCACCACCTCAACGCAGACCCCATCTCAATATAGGAGAAATCGTACAAGAATTACAGCAATTTCATTTATTTTTCAATCACCAGAGAGCAATAGATCATTCCCAAATAGATCTCAGCATTAACTATGCATTCAAATGTTTTTTGAACACATTTACACGTTATCTTGACATACCTCAGGTGATGGGGTGGATCCAAAAGAAGTCAAAGGCTTGTTCCATGCACTGACTGATGGAGGCTGGGGAGGACTAATTGGTCCCACTGCAAAAGAAAACATGAAAACCGTCCAAATGTTAATGTTAATTTGAACAATTTAATCACAATTTAACAACAGTAAACTATTTAAAACAAAGTGCGATTTCTGTTTTGAAAATGCATGGTCAAATGCAGAAGGTAGTGGATATATAAAGATAAGAGTATTGCAAGCAAGCCTCAATATCTTAGCATAATGCGAAGTGAGGTGGTGGATGTAGGACAGTACCAATTCAAATGCAACATTTGTGAGACTAGCCCATACCCATTTTTAGAGAAGGCAAGTGCAGTCACAATCAATCTGTCAGAAAAGTAGGAACTTTGCTACTTATCATGGGAAGATGAAGTAAATTTGATGAAGCAACAAAGTGCTACTATTATCCACATAGAAAATAGCCCACTTTCCCCTATCAGTGACTGAACTTTTATAAAATGAATAAAATTCACACTAACGTTTTTTGGTGCCGTCAGAAAGGGCAGCAGAAGAACTCGATTTGTTTTCCCACAGCTCTGTCTCCACTGCACTATGTGCCGGAGTCGGGAGCAGTGCCTTTCCAGAGACTGGATACTCGGAAGCATTTTCTGGAGGACTGCTCCCTCCCTGCACCTGCTGCTGGACTGATGTCGGTACTGAAGGCTGAGATGCAGCTGGAGTTAGAGCTAGAGCCTGCAGTTGGGGCTGAGCTTGTGGCTGGACTGAAGCTGCAGTCGGAGCTTGAGCCTGAGCTTGGGCCTGTTGGGCTGCTTGCTGCTTCTTTGCAAATCGTGGAGGGAGTTTAGAATTCTGACCTCTCCCCTTCTCATTCACATTCTTCTTGCTCCAGTTCTGCAGGAATAAAGAACAGAAATGACAAATACAGGATCACACATTGCCTTTTATTGAATGTACACAAATACTAGATGGAAGACGCTTCATTTACACTCTTAAACAATCTAAAGATGTTGGGTGTGAGATGACACATTTTCTTTTGATAACTTTAAAATAGAATAGCCCCCAAGTTTAAAAATCAATGTTTCAGAGACATTCAAAATTGTATAATTTTTAATCTGATAACTCCCTCAAAATGAGATACAAGAAACATCTCTCATTGAACTTTAATCTTGTGTGTCAAAGAACAATACTGCTGGACACAGAACTTAAAATACTTTTATGAATACTAAACTGTTTGTATATTGAACACTTGTGTATTGAATGGCTTGTAACGAGACATTTTGCAGCATCGATTTCGATTTGACTTTCAATGATAACAGAATATATTGTCAAGTGGATTGACTGTGTATTTGGGGACAAATCACGACAGCATCAGAATAATCCTGCAGCTCGGTATCATTTTAGCTGGTAGCATTCTCGTCCGCGAGACATATTTCAAACTTGTAAATTTCAAAGAAAGCTACTGAAAGAAGGTGAATCCAGACCAATGGCCTCTTTACCTGTACAACTTGTTCCTCTTTTTTTCTGCGTTCTTCATCCTGTAGGCGCTTCTGTTGTTTCTTTGACACCACTTCTGTGAATCCATCATCAGTCGTGTTATGTTGTGTGTCTTCAACCGTTGTCACTTCTGGGTGGTCATCAATGATCACCACACCTAGGGCGCCAAATTCAAATCACATCAGGAATCATTTTGTACTACAGTTGCATCAGGGTTTACTTCACATTATAGGGACCGAACAGAGATTTTTCACCCCAGACTAAGAATCTGCTGTGCAAAGGAACAAATTATCCACATTCACATAAAAGATTCAACTGCAAAAACTCAACATATTGAAGATGAGGCATCACATAATGAGGGAGGAAATGAACACAGCACCAAGGGAAGAGAAGGTACTCACTGGCATAGTTATTCAGGTCAAACTGTGACAGAGCATCGGCCTTTTCTTTCGGTTTCTTCGCAGCCAATTTGGCCTCTTCCCTTTTCTTGCTGGCTGCATCCTTTGGGTACTTCTGGGCTGCACCCACACCGCTGCCTTCTTCTGGGTGGTGAGTCGTGTTACTGGTGGTGGGATCAAAACCAGTCAATGCTGCTGTTCGGTCTTCAAAATGCCTACATCATATAAACACAAGAAACTGACCACCATTTTCTAAATGGAAGACAGTTCAGTGCCCCAGTAAACTTACAACAGTGCACGTTCAATAACATTACACAAGCACGGCCTACACGTGAAATGGGCAGGTGAATTGTTGCACAAATCTCAATCTTAAACTGCCTGTAAATGTGTTGTCATTTTGATCATCTGCCAATGTCTTCAATGTGCGCGTGTTACTGGCAGCAAACTGAATCCACATTGAAAGATTTCAAAAAGATTTTAAGAACTATGATCAGATTCCAAAATGCTCACATGAGGCTCATGGTGCAGTGTAGATGGCTTCCCACCATTGTCTAAAAGCACCTCTCCCTTCACAAGTGATGGCTTCAGTAAACAGGTTTACTGATCTGAGTTCTGCTGCAATTAAAACCCCATACACATCACAATGTTGTGTAAAACTGAACTCTTCCCTGTTATTCAGAAAGTTAATGGAGCTGGAGAGGCAATGTTGACGTGCAGATTGCCAGTGCTTCACGATCTGCACAGCTGAGGAAGCCAGGATCTTATTATTCACCATGGCCTCCTCGATCCGACACCTTCAAAAGAGAAGATGGGGAAGCAAAGAAACCAGACCGCAATGAATCGCTTTCTTTAGATCGGAGGCCATTTAGACCCGAGCTTAAACTGCCCAGCTATTTTGGAATATTTCTTTGGTTCTGCTATTCCCTGGTTGCTGGCCAAGTTCTGTATAGGTGAATGCCAAGACAATGCTTTGCTAACTGTTCAGAGAACAAGAAGCAGCTCTCCCATTAAGGGCAGAACATTTGATTTGGGAAAGTCAATTTCATTCCTCACCATGACACAAGAGCTTGATGCAGAACAGCAGCTCCAATAGCTGTGCAGCTTAAAACTGATGAAACTCATCAAGAGTATGAACAGATAACGCCACGTCTTAAAATATTAACTCTTGTGAAACGCTAGAATCTCAACTACTGCAATTGTTGGTATCATCTAAACAAAGCTTTGTCGGTTTTTAAAATAAAATCAAACAGCTTCCTAAAATATTAAGTTACAATGCTCAGTTTAGTTTCAACACAGCATTTTCTTCATGTAATTCCAAACAAATGTATTCATAAGCATTCATAGTGCACATCTTCATTACACATTGGTTCCCAATGTGGCTTTTAAAATAAAATCATAAAATGACCAATTAGAAAACAAATTGTTTACATACCTTCTTTTACCAGGCTTTGACATCCCACCGCGCCTTTCATTCTTGCTCCCAGAAAAATTTCTGTTTGGTTTTGCTGGTCCACTGTTGCCTCTACGATTCTGTCGATCTGTCCCTGGACGCTGGCTGGAAAAACTTCTCTTTGCAGTCTCCCGCTTTGGAAGGAGACCACTTTCCCCAGACTTTGTTGGTGCCTGCAAATTGACAGCGGTTTTCTTTTCATCTCGGTCTCGTCTCTCAGTGAAGTCACTGCTTTCAGAAGCAGTCTCCCATTCTTCATTAGCTTGATCTGAAGAGTTTTGATTGGACAAGTCTGGCGACTTGCTTCCAGCTACATCTAAGGCAGTGGCTGTATGTTCCTGCACACTAATACTAGGGGTTGCATTTGTCACAACGTTTACAGTGGTCTCGTTCACTTTAGCAGCAGCCTCTCTCTCTTTCAAACGACGGAATCTTGGTGGTTTATCCTGTCTTGGTGGTCGTGTGGGTCTTTGCTTCCTAAGTCGTTCTCTGCTATGGTCAAATTTACGCTCGGGTCTAAATGGCCTCCGATCTAAAGGAAGCGATTCATTGCGGTCTGGTTTCTTTGCTTCCCCATCTTCTCTTTTGAAGGTGTCGGATCGAGGAGGCCATGGTGAATAATAAGGTCCTGGCTTCCTCAGCTGTGCAGATCGTGAAGCACCACGCCCTCCACCACCTCCTCTATTGCTACCTCTAAACATTCCCCCTCTACCACGTCTTGATGGTTCACCTCTGGGAAGAAAGCCAGGTTTGGGCTTTGGCTCATCCTCTTTCAAAGGCACCTTATCTGCAGATCTGACCTCCACCTTAGAGCTGCTTTCAGATCTGAAAGACCTTTGAATGTTTTTACTTTCTGGCCTTTCCTCTTTCTTAAGACGCTTTCCTTTGTTTGCGTTTTCTTTGTCTGAGAAGGTGTCACTTGCACTTTCATGGGCTTCACTCTCAGAGTCAGTTTCAGATCCATGCTGTCTACGGCGTTTAGGAACCTCTTCAAAATCAGAGCTTTCACTACGAGTTTCACTCTCTTCCCTTTGCCTGAATGAAGGTACATTGGAGACTTGCTCAGGCCTTGGTCTCGACTCCCTATAACGAGGGTATTCTCGACTGCGACCCCTTCCTCCTCGCCCACGACCATTATAGGAACCTCTAAAGCTGCGTCCTCGGGAATAAAATTCTCCACGTCCTCTTCCTCTATATCCCTGATCGGGCAACCAGTCACGCTCCCGGGGGTCTCTGCGGTAGTTACGTGGTGGTAAGCTATAATCTTTCCTGATAGCAGGTCGTGTTTCAAATCGGTGCTTTTCTGAGATCTGATTCTTAGGCTGTGGCTTCTCTTGCTTCTCATCTTTTGGTGCTTGAACTGGAGCAGTCTGATTGCTTACAGGCTTGCTTGCAGGTGTAGCTTGCGGAGATGGCTCGGTTTTATCTGTAGTCTGTTTCAAATCCTGGGGCACTTTTTTAGTCAATGACATGTGACCATCTGGAGCAGATTTTTCAGGCTCAATTTTATTGCTTATTTTATTGACTGGCTGAGCGAGTTCTTTCTTTTCCACTTTTCCAGTTTTATTACCCTTGCCTGGAATAGAATATTTTTCCTCCTCCTTTTCTTTCCTTTGTTCACGTTCTTCCTTCATATCCCTCAGCACCGGCTTTTTGATTGGACCAGAGCGTCTTATTGGCCTATTACCACCGTCATCCCTCCTATTGAAACCTGCTCTGGGACCCCAACGGGTGTCTGATTTGGATTCTTTCCTGAGTGGCTTATCATTCCTCAGCCCCTCTGATTGTTTACTTTCTTTCTTTGATTTTTCGTCAGGTTTCTCGTGCTGCTCTTTTGGCTCAGTGTACCTGTTCTGCATTTTTGTAACAATTGGCAAAAAATCACCTTTCTGGTCCTCGAGCTTCAGTGAATGGTTCATCCCGTGGGATTGGTTTGATCCATGAGAGAGGTTTTTCTTTAAAACTGTTCTTGTTTCTCCTTGTATTGCTAGCTCCTCTCGGGAGCTACCAATTGCACTCTTATCCAGAACCTCCACATTCACAGTCTCGGTTACTTTCTCAGTTTGAACAGGGCGCATTTCCTCCACTAATTTTTTTGTGAATTTTCCTTTCTCTTCATCTCCCTTGTCTCTTAAGAACTCCTGGTTCAAGCGCTGTGATAGTGGCTTCTGTTCGGTGGGATAAACCTTTCTCTCTTGCTCCCTCTGCAATCCTGACCTAGAAAAGTACAAATAAAACCTATAGATGTCTGATAGATATATGACCAATTTATCCGTGGTTTGTTGGCCAGGACAATGGGAAAAATTCTGTTCTCAATCACTCTCATTGGATCTTTAACAACTACTGAAACACCAGTGCACAATGTCACTATGTGGCAGTGCCACGTTTGTGAAACCATTACAATTTTCATTTCAAAAACAAAGTTTACATTAGTTTCTACACATAAAAATTTGAATGAAAAAAATAAATTTCCCGTAAAATTTAGAATATTCCTTCTTCATTCTAGAATTCTCCATGTATTAAATGATGTCCAGGTTGATACGATAGGAAATTACAAAGAACATAGTCCTTTTAAGACCTGTGGATATCAAGATATTTTCACACCATATAAAACTATCCCTTCTAAATTGGACGGCTTTTGTAATCAAGGCAAGCGTAAAGGTGACCAAATAGGAGGAGTATATTATCTTATTAGGTCATTCAACTAACCCATCAGGATTAAGCAGGGTGAAACCTTGGACAAGTTTCCTTACTCGACAAGCCTGATAATAATCCCTCAAGAAAAAAAANTAATAAATTGATCACTGTTTGTGGGACACTGTTGTGTGTAATTGGCTGCCACATTTCGCCCACAAATGTACAGTCAATTCACTTTACAGTCTATTCTGTGAAGCGCTTTGAGACGTCTAGAAGACATGAGAAGTGTTATATCAAATGCAAGTGTTATTATTAACATGAGATCATAACAAATCCACCTATAACACAAATTACTGATCTCAGAAGAGAAATAACATGTAGTTTATAGCACCCCAAAACATCTCAAAAGCATTTTACATTAATGAGACAAATGTTTAAATGACCGTTTAAACAATGACTGCTTTGGTTAGCAAACACATTTTGCACAGCAAACGTTGTATGACCAATCTGGAGTTTGCTGGCCAGCGCATCAGGAGAATTTTTTNCTCAAATACTCTCATTGGATCTTTTAACTACTTGAACGGGCAGGTAGGACCTTGGTTTAACACCTTAATTGAGTGGAAAACAAAAGCTTCTTCATAAGGAAAATATGCTTCTAGGCACTGCCGATTCTCAGAGCAGCAAGTGTTAGGTCTAAAAGCAGATTTCTGCGTCAGCCCACTTGACCACAGGTGACGACGGTCAAGGGAGATTAGAAAATGATATAAAGTGAAGAAAATAGGAGTTGCATTCCATTAAAAGAAAAATTGCATTTCTGATCACCACTGAACTTCCAACCTGCTAGCACGTATGGCTCAGGCCTCAACTGGATGTCTATTCTCTGAACCATCAGTGAAGCTCATGCTGCAGACTTACCAAACTAAACACGCTTCAAGAATTCTAACTTCCAGGAGTTATTGCAAACCTACCTCCAGTCTTTTGATTCTTCGGCCATTGATGGAGGGGTAGCAACTGATCGTGGCTCTGTGCGAGGATAGGGATCTGAGCCCCATACTAATCGAGGCTCTGTCGCCTGGAGAGGGTGATCCCTGCCTGTCCGTGAATGATGGTCCAATGATTCTGATCCAGAACTGGAGGTGTCAATCTGATCTCTTCTTATCAGTTGTTTTGTTGGCATCATACCTATAAACATAAAACAAAGCTGGAACTTTTCAAAACAAATATTTATCGGGGGTTTGGATTGAAAACAAGCTGCTGAAATACAGTAGCAGGATATCAAACCACAAATCCCAATATGTAATGCACCAATTTGTAGTTAACAGCTGTCCGCTATTTACTAACCAGGGTGCATTGGTGCCATGTCTATAGGTGGCCTTCCAGACATCATACGTGGATCCATGTAAGGCTGCATCATAATCCAACGTGGATCAAATCCCATGGAAGCCAAGTGTTGAGGATGAGGTGGGCCTAGGGGAGTCTGATACAAAGGCCTGTGCTGTGGTGGTGCTCCAGAAGGCTGAGGCTGTGAATGGGCCTGTGGCTGAGCCTGTGGCTGAGCTTGGGTTTGGGATTGTGACTGAGTCTGGGATTGTGTTTGCTGCTGATGGACTCCTGGTTGCTGTTGCCACTGATGTTGCTTCATCATTTGCTCCTGAAAAACAAAATCATCATTATAGTATAATAATCCTTGCATTTGATATAGCGCTTTTCACGTCTTTGAGATGTCACAAAGCGCTTCACAGAATATACTGTAAAGTGAATTGAATGTATATTTGTGGGCGAAATGCGGCAGCCAATTGCGCAAAGCAGTGTCCCAGAAACAGTTGTGGATTGAGTGACCAAATTATTATTTTTCTTTAGGTAGGATGTATGTAGGTAGGATGCATGGAACTGAGTTTGAAGACTTAAGCATGATGAAGGGTTTGTTTTCTCATATGTCAGGTACACTACATGACCAAATTACTACCCACTTTGGGGTGGGGGGTTGGCAAGGGAATGTTAGAATTGAGACAATGCTCTATGGCAGTCTCAGTACTCCAGTTCTTGAGCCAAGCAGTTCAGCAGTCCTCCCAAATACTGATTCATTTCTGACAGACCAGCCATACTCTAAACAAAAATCATAGATGGCAGAAAATCCCACCTTCAACAGAAATCTGTACCCAGCCAAGAAAATGGCATCTTATTCTTTACCTGCTGTCGCTGGAATCGAGGGGGCAGCGATTTCTGAAACTGTTTTGAGTATCCTGATGGAACAGCAGGTCGAGTTTGGGAGCTTGAATCACCCTCAGCATCATTTGTTTTTTGAGAAATTTCCTTCTCACTGTTAGTGGTGTCTGGTTGACTGATAGGCTGGATGGGCTGGGAAGTATCATCTGTCAACAAAGTAATTCAATATTTTTCAGTTTTCGCAAAGAAACCTCAAAGATGTAGCTAGAACAAAAGCTTAAAGACCCGTTTCCAAACAAAACAAGACACATTGATCCATACATTCTGGCTACACACTGCATTCAGCTATTTGGGAGAATTGGCTTGGGAAGCCACAAAAACAACTGGCCTTACAAGCCCATTCAACGAAACCCCTTGCTTGCGAGTGTTACACTGAAAAGCAAAAAAAAATTGGCCAAGAGTGTACCCTCAACAAACATGCAGATAAAATATCTGTCAGATTCATGCCAGTCAGAATGTGTAATGTACAGCCCCCATCTAGAATCAATAAAATATCAGGTAGTCTGGAACCTCATCCTGGAAAACTAAAGCCTGCTTATTCTCTCTCCTGTGTTCCACAAAGAACACCTCAAAACACTCCATGAAATGGAACAAAGTCCAAACCCTGACAAAATCCTAGCTAAAGGGCCAATATGCAACTCATTTTTTTTTAAAAAAAATTGCACACCTGCATTATCTTTAATGCTGCTGCTCTCAATTTCAGTATTGTGGTCTTTGGAAACTTCAGCCTCAAACACCTCCTTTGTGACTTTGTCCTCCTCTTGGTTAGCCTTCTCCTCCCCTTGATTAGCCTTCTCCTCCCTTGGTTAGCCTTCTCCTCCTCTTGTTTAGCCTTCTCCTCTTGTTTAGCCTTCTCCTCCTCTTGTTTAGCCTTCTCCTCCTCTTGTTTAGCCTTCTCCTCCTCTTGTTTAGCCTTCTCCTCCTCTTGTTTAGCCTTCTCCTCCTCTTGTTTAGCCTTCTCCTCCTCTTGTTTAGCCTTCTCCTCCTCTTGTTTAGCCTTTTCTTCTGCTTTAGCCTTTTCTCTGCTTTAGCCTTTTCCTCTGCTTTAGCCTTTTCCTCTGCTTTAGCCTTTTCCTCTGCTTTAGCCTTTTCCTCTGCTTTAGCCTTTTCCTCTGCTTTAGCTTTTTCCTCTGCTTTAGCTTTTTCCTCCCGTTCCTTCTTTTCTTTTTCCCTCTCCTTTTCTTGTTTTGCTTCTTTTTCCATAGCAAATTTTTCGTCAAGTTTCTTGAGTTTCTCAGCACAGGCTGCCAGCCTTTGCTCCTCCATGCGCCGCTCTTCTTCTTCGCGGCGTTTCCTGGCTCTTTCTACGGCTGCCGACATGTCAGTTGATGAAGGTTTTCGCCTCTGTCTCCAGGTGTCATCATCTTCACCTGACAATCCAGGTTTGGGGATGGGAAGTTTTCCAGGCCCGATCTGACGACTTGGATGCACCTGTGCAATTTAAAAATGAAGTGAAAAGAGTCACTTAGGCTACTGGTCAAAGTTCTTCAAATTCACACACATACATCTCCCCAAGCAGAACTATTACACAAGTGATGCACAGCATGTGCTCAATTAAAAAATAAATATACGCTACTCATCTTGAGCTGTCACTTTGTTACATCAACCATTAAGTCAACGTTACCTGCAAAACCGATTTCTGAACAGCAGCAGCAGAAAGAATTGGTGCACGTGACTCCTGTATGGCAGCAGGTGGTGGGGTCAGTCCGATTTCCTGTCATGGGGTTTTAAAAAAAGTTATTATTCTAAATTTCATAATCCACATTACTTTGCAAATTAAACAAACATTCTGGATACAAAAGATAAAGACAAAACAAAAATTGGGATGATGGTTGGCTATTACACACTTCATAACAAATAAAGCCATCCAATATATCTAATGGACAATTCTTATTCTAAAAATATTGAAAGTATTTCCAGTCTGACTTCCTCACATTTGCATATTAAACGAGGGCCCCACTACCTCTTCAGTGTACACCTCACACATTTTCAGTATACAGCTCACCCATTTTAAGCACTTTGAAATGTTTTTATGTAAATTATTTTACACATAATGCAAGTTCTAGCTGTCCTACACAGAGGTATCTCAATCAGGTGAAAAGTTGTGAACTAACCTGTCGATCCATTCGGTTGACTGAGCTCCTGCCATTTGGTGACTTTGGAGCAGAGTCTGCTGTTGCGCTGGGACATTCATCTTCTTTTCGTCCATCAGCGTTCTCTGGATGTTTTGACTTAAAATGCTCAGTTTTGGTGATTTTGTCAGGGTCATCACTGCCCAAACAAAGAAAAATAGTAAATCCCTCTCTCCAAATTACATTACTTCCCAACACAAACTACGACAAAATGACTACAATACACCTGCAGCACATCTATTCCATTAAAAAACACTTTCTCCCTCTACTACACCCTTTTTATCCTTGAGGACTGTGGTATTCCAGGCTGTAGACCTTTTGATCTAGTAGTGCTAGAAACTGACTGACAGGCTCCACACTTCTGTATTTCCGTTGCCTGTAGTTTTTGCCAGCAAAATCCACAACAATAGGCTTTGTGAATCTCATGCAAACCAGACAGCTAATTTACATTTAAAATAAAAACAAGGATATCAAGCTCCCTAACTCAATGGGGGAATGAAAAAAAGAGAAAATCTCCTCTGGTATTTCCATGTGCCTTTTGGCAATCAGATGATGAGCAACACTGACCAGAGAGTAAGACAAATGACAAAGAAGATCGGGGGTGATGTGAGAAGAGTAAAAATGTTATCTTTTTAGCAGTTGAAAATAAACTGAGAAAAACAATAAACCATACCAGCTCTCATCTCTCTCCTTTGATATGCCTGACTCCTCATCATCACTGAAATTTAGCTTTTCTGTGTAATCCACTTCCGACTGGGCTCCTAAAACACAAATACAATTTTAAACCATTGCTTAAGACCTCTATTGCAAACCAACAAACAATTTCTCCATTTTACCTGCCCAGCCATCATCATTCTCTGTGTCCAGGATATCAAGCTCCTTCAGTTCATTCGGCTTAATAATGGAGGGTCGCTCATCAGGGCAAGATTGAAGTTGTGGCCTTCCACTTTGCCTAGCCAGTTTGAGAGGGGGGAAAAAAAATGGAAAAAACGGTTTATGAAAAATTCTTGTTTATTTGGAAGAAAATACAATTAATGAGCAGTGTCTAAAATTTAGATGTAGTATTATCCAAATAAATCCATGAGGATATCGAATGCACTAGATCAGCGTGAAAAAACACAGTAAAAGATTTTTAAAAATTCAGAAAAGCGCCGAGCTACATAAGTGATTCAACAACAGCAAAGTTATATTTATATAGTGCTTTTCACACCAGGAGGACGTCCCAAGGCGCTGGATTGACATCTTGAAAAGGCAATTGAGAAAGACTTGAGTTGCTTAAACGCAATTGAGATCAGCGATTAGGCATGTGAAAAATCAGAGAAACGATTAAAATATCAACTTGCAAATCATGGTGGCTTTGGACAAGTTCCTGTGCCATATTGTCTAGGAAAGACCCAGGTTTGAACTTTACAAAGTTAGTTAATCTTAACAGGGTGGTACTGGCAGCACTAAATTTAGCCGCAGAGCTCCAGATTTTGTGGGAGGGTAGAGAAGCGAGAGGGAGAGAGAAAAAAATCAGGGATACCACTCCTGATCAGTCTCCAGCAAAACCTACTGAATATGCACTGGTGAAGACATGGAGGGTAGAATCAAGAGGTTCAGTCAGCAATCAGAAAGCTTAGACTAATTTCCAACATACAAATTTGCAAACAGTGAATCTGGCAACTAACCAGATAAGTCTCTCTGAAACTTTGTTCCTCCCTACCTCTGTGACCTCCTTTCTGCTCCTATACCAATCCTATACCAACCTGCTCACTCCCTTTGCTCAGCAGGCTCCAGCTTGCTTCACGTCCCCCGCCTTGCCCACTCCAGGCAGGTCTTCAGCCTCTCTGCCCCCACCCTCTGGAACTCCATCCCAGTTTCTTTGCCTTGTCCCCTCCCTTGCCTCCTTGAAAACCCACCTCGTCAACTGTGCCTTCGGTCATCCTCCTATCCCTACCCTCCACCCCTCCTGATCCCAACCACCAGTTCCGGTGCGGATCCCTGACTGTCCAGCGCCTTGGCACGTACTCCTAATGTGAAAGGCGCTATACAAATGTAATGTTGTTGTTCAGACACCAATCACAGTTTCAACTTCTGCACTGCCCCTGGCGGACCCCATGATGACACATTCCGAGCCAAATTTAAGATCACTTGAAGATTGTACTACTTACAAATCCTTGTGCAATTTAAAAAAAATAAGACCTCACTATCATGACTCACAAATGAAATATGGCCAATCTGGCAAGGTGTCAGAAGATGGTTGAGTGTCTACGGACTTGAAATGCTGAAGAAAGAATATGGAGGGAAAACACTTTCACAAGAGGAAAGAAGAGGAAAAAGATTGGGTGGGAAATTGGAGCAAAAAAATCTGAACGATCTAAATTGAATCCTTCAAAAACAAGAAAGGTTGCCTCAGGCAGACATCTGAATAATTGTGGAACATAACTTGACCATTATAAGCATTCAAGACTTGCACTTACTTAATATTTGGTGCAGGAAATTGCAGACGATGTCCTTGCACTTGAGGAAATTGCAATCTTATTTGTGGATAACTCAGCTGAAAATTCACAGAAAAAATAGCAATAAATGTATGCAGTAGTATGAACGATCAACGTATCTTGCAACAAACATTTGAAGGTACAAGTCAAACAAAACGTCAATGTACAACCTTTCTTTTAATCATTCTTATAACTTCTAGAATATTATGACAAAATAAACCCCTTTAGACTATGATTCTGAGTTAGGATTTAAACATGGTTTCTGATTAAATTTGAATTATTGCAATTTTGTGACCCCAACTTTCTTACCTGGCAGTCAGCTATGCTCAGAAAATGAGAGCACAATGCATTAATTATCCACTACCCACATCTTGCCAAGTACAAAGTTCTCTAGATACAGTTACTTCAAACAGTTTGGATCTTCTTTAAGGTAATATCGTACCTAATTCTCCATTTTTGGTGTACAGGTCTAGTCAGCGTGATCATATGGGGCATTACAACCAAGCTAAACACCACTTCATGAATCTAGCTACACTTCATTGTATCCCCAACAGTACAAAGATGTTGTTACTGCAGTGATGATGATGAGAATTGTATGTAATACTCCATGTAGTGCAGAACCAGCAAAGCTAGGATGGATGTGTATGGATGATGTGCACAGGATGGCAAAATATAAGCATCTAATTCATCCTTCATGATATAGTCCAAAATGGCATTCTAACAATTGATGGCTAATAAAAATTCTGTAATGCTGAGACATTGGCAAGGTCTCAAATAAGTGTTTTGTGTTTTAGTAATTTAAAAATCTGACTGAACAAAAAGAAAGTCCTGTTAATCTTAGGGTGGGAAGATTTTATAAAGGCACATATTAAAGTACAAGTCCTCAAATGGATAACCAGTTTGGCATTTATATCCAACACAAATGTTTTCTGGTTAAAGATAATATATCCCTTTCCATTAAATTGTTATTACTCAGAAAAGATCATCATTTCTCCCCTTCCTGGCATATATCAGAAGAAACGCAACACATTTTACACTACTACACTCCACCAAACCAACTTTACTTCTACCTTCTACAATCCACACACCGATTGAAGCTCTACTACATTATCCAAAAACACAAGATTATTGCTTACGAAGGATGGCAATATTCCTCTGATCTGTGGTGTACAAAGCGGAATTGTGATAATCTTCTGTCCGTTCATCTTAGTTAGAGGCACAGAAACAATCTTGTCTCGTCCATCAGGTCCCTTACAAGTATCATTCTGTTCTGCTGCAGCAGTGGCTCCACCTTCGGAGCTGGAGGGTTTACCGTCTACTTCAGGTTCTCCAGGCTTCCCTCCACCATCTCGCCAACAAACAACTGTTTGCATAAACAGAAAAAAACGATTGATTTTTAATTCCACACTTTAACACTTTCAAACAGTACACTTATTCCTTCAATCTTCTCACCTGCTCTCACAATAGAGATTCCCCTTGGGTACCATTCTATGAACAAATGCCGCATGTCTATACATCAATATGCAGATTCAGTTTACAAACCATCAATATTCCAACTACTTTATTAATTGAACATTCAGTATGCAAGGCACACCTTCAATACAAAAGCAACTAAGATAAAGAAATACTGTAGAAACTTACTTTGTGGGCGCAAGGTCAGTCCAGGACCAGATGCTTCATCAGGCAAGTCTTTATCCTTCACAACTTTTTCCTGATCCCCAGCTGCCTGCAGGGTAGGAAATTCATGCTGGAAATGGGTATTTAAGCCCTGAATTCCTGAAATATTAAAACAAATGAGATTTTACATCCCTGCATTAATTCTTTTAAACTGAAATAGTGAGTGGATGCAAGAGTTTCCAGATGTAATCTCCTCTAACATAGCTTTCAAGCAGATTGAAGCATTCCTCCACCCCCCCCCCCCCCCCCAAAGGAACTGTGGGATGGAGTTCCAAAGGGTGGAATTTACAAATTAAGCACGCAATAATCTAAATCAGCAATTGACTCATTTGGGTTTTCAGATGCTTACCATCTTCTTGACCACTGTGCTGGTTATTGGTCTGGGCCCAGGATTTCACAGCTGTGATCACTTCTTCCTGTGCGGTTGGAACTGGGGCTACTGAAATGGGCTGCTGCGATTCCTGCTCAGGGGGTGCTGTGGTACTATTGCTAAAATCAGAATGTCAATACATGTTTCTTGTACATTAAATCATACAAACAAGCAACAGGCAGACAGCAGTCAATCTATTCCATAAAAGTACAATACTTTTTTTTAACAAAACCTAGAATTTTTTTGGTTAGATACAGTAAGCAGGTTTTGCTACCTCTACCTTTTCTTACTTTAGAGAATTACAGGACAAGATGGTATGTGCACTCGACACTATGCTTGGCTATAGCATGTTCTGTAATTGCATACTTTTTTATGTAATATTTTTAAAGATTTTGCAGATTACAAAACAGAAAATATTTTTTAAAGTGGTCATAAGTGTACTTAATGGTTAATTTCCATAGCGTATATGCTTAATACATGAATGAAACTATGAAAATGCAAGTAATTTGCACCTCTCTTCTTCAGGCTGTTCTGGTTTAGTGACCCATCCTGATCCATCCTTTGGTACAATATTCACATTGGGATCGTTGCCTTTGTTCTCTGCTTTGAGACTAGGGAGGTTAGCAGGTGGTGGCATGCGCCGTGAGCTAGCCACTTTCCCCAGACTCTGCAATCCATGGCGTGCTGCAACTATGTATACAACAACCAAATTCAGATGGGAAACGAGAAAAACACTAAACATTCAGAGTCCCTCACCAGTCAAGCCATGCACATTAAACAGAAACAAACATTAAAGCCATGATTAGTTATTAATCCATTAAGCCAAATGTCAAAGCTACTCAAGGCCCAATAGTAGCTTTCTACATCTACAATGGGACTGAGACAAGAGAAACTCAATAACTATCACTTGAAATTTATTTGCACTGGTATTAACTGAACTCGGGTCGGGTCTCAAAAAATAATTCTGGTACATTGAGCTTTTAGTTTTACATTAATACAAATAGCAAAGCCAAAGAAGGAAATATGAAAATATTCAAGTAAACATGAAATCAGATATTCATGCACCTTATTTAATGTACTTTGAGCCAGGCATAATTGTAATTTTCAGAAAAGTACTCCTTTAGCAGCTAACTGAATAACCATTCATTTTGTAGGTATATATGCAGCATTAACACCCACAAGGATTGTGATAACCCACATCATTGACCGATCACAATCCAACTCGAACAAGTCACCAGCCTATCTACCCATTGGAATGAACTCAGTAAATGGAGAAATATTTTATTGAAACAAAAATATACATTGGACTCACCTGTATTTTTTTGTGTTTCGATTGACTTCCCCTTGTATGTATTAAACAGGCTGAGTGTTGCATACTTGGTTTTGCCGTCCTTTGCTTTTGTGCTCTGGCCTGACCTCTCTGACATTTCGATGGAAATTCATCGAGTCTGGTAACGCCTGGCTCTCGCCTCAGAATTAGCCTTCTTCTGAAACATAACACAGAGTTTGAAATTACCAGACAGTTCAGCCTTTTGCGGCTTTAAAAACGAACTGCAAATGAAACTAAATCGATTACAAATGAGAAAAAAAATAAAGCTGGATTCTACTAACTGTGTTTTAATTATGCGTAGTACAGGAAAAGAAGCACATGACACCCTGATTTGAAAAACCGCACCAAATGCAAGTACAATTTTTTTTATTTGAAATAGTTGTAATTTGGTACCACGTCTGTATTTTCCAGTCAGTTATGCTTAGCTGTTTCAAATACTGAAAAATATTTGGTGAGCAAACCACTTTGATAGTAGACACAAACACTTATGAAAGTGAAGACAAGAGTATTCAGAAATTCATTACAAAGTACTATAGTACAAGAAGGGGCTAGTTTGAGACTTTACACACCATCTGTAAATAGCATTTCATCCTAGATAATATCAGTACATACAAACTCCCAAAACATGACTGTGTACAATTTCAGACTACTGCATCCATTTCCTTCACATTTATATATAATGAGTACTATTACAGACTGACCTTAAAGGTCGTGTATCAAATTTAAGTATTATAAATGCAAAATCTATTTGACAAAACCTTACAGGCTCTAAATATGCTAACTACATATCATTGTTCATAGCGCAAATTATGATGCAATACATCCCTGGAACATTTGATCCTAGTGCTAACATGTGAAATTACTTTTGGATTGGAAACCTACTTCGAGGCAATGCCGCTGAGAATATCCAAGCTATTTTATTTCTCATCCCATTGTTATAAATGTATTAGGCAGATACATATTGGTTCTTACTGCTATCTTATGTGCTATTTCACAGCTCAACAACAGTGGAGTGGGGCACAGCATTCCAAAGGCAGTTTGGGCATTTCAAACATGAATGCTTTCTAATCATTAGCATTGCTCAATTCTGCACCAGAAAAAAACGCAATGAGGACGATGAGGATTTTGTTACACCAAGACTTGCACTGGCTGCTTGATAAACTAGCAGCATGCATTAAGAATACACAATTTAAGCTTGCTTTACAATTTGTCCAAAGATTCCTTAAAAACCTTTACATAGCACACAAAACTACGTAAAACATGCATTTCAAAAGAATATTTCAGTACTTTGAAACATCAATCAGGCAGTTTGTGGTTGAAGATAAGCTGGACAAATGTTCTGTTTCAGTAAGCAATCTTTGCCAAGAACTGTGATCCATAAAATTGGTTGGTGCTGGGACATTTTATCAAGAAAAGAAAATGACAGGTCTGGAAGTTTTAATGTAGTGTGTATCCACTATGCAACATCAGCAACCAAATTGCTTCTGTTTTTTCTCGACTTCAGTTCACTTTTGTGTTAACACATAAATTGCATATTATACATAAATTACACATACCAAGGCTAATAACTGTAACTGACATTCATGGATCTACCACTGTGCACCAACAATGCTATGAATCATGGAGGCATGATAGCTAAACTCGATTCTCTCCTCATGTAACCCCGTTCGAGATCAGCTAACACCAAGTCAAATTACCTTTTCATTAACTCACCGCAGGTCATTCATTCCATACAGAAAACTCTCTGGGAGAATTCTCCTTCTCTATCTTTGCCTTCTGGTCAATCTTAAATTTATGCTTTTTTGAATCAAATTTACCACTAGATTTACCACAAATTTACCATCTTCCATTACATCAACCCTCATTGTTCTAGCACATAGCCATTCTTCATGCTTGATCTTACAAAGATATGTGACCACCATATCTGAGTCAGTTCTGCCCTCAGTGAAAATAAACAAATGCATGTTCCAGCAAGGGTTACTGGGATCTCACTGCTGCTTCCACTGAGATCAGTTAAAGAGCACAAGCCAAGAATTTGAACCTGGGGCCTTCCTCATCTGTATGGCTCAATACCACACTATGGATTACATTTACCCATTGAGGTATTAGGAGTAAATGGATTTTAAGAGTAGAATGGATCATTAGCTGCCACTCAGTTCTATTGAGATATTTTGCTATTTAGACATTTCACCTTTTGCACCCAGCAACAAATATTGTGCTTTTTCTGTCATTTAGGTTTTCAAGCCTCCATTTCAAATTCTGCATTTTCATCATCATCTTCTATTAGCCACTTAGTTCATATTCCGCTATAGTTAGCGTAACAAAAGCATCTCCACCTTCATGGTCAGCCAGAAAATTCCCCTTTATTGCTAGACCTTTCCATCACTTGAACAAGATCCATGTTTTATTAGTTTACCACTTGGATTGTCAAGGCCCTGAAGCCATATGCAGTTTACTTTTCAAGGAAATTTACAGCTGTTTTAGGTCACTCTTGGAAAGGATCTTACAAATCTGCTGCACAGCTCAGATTTTATGGTAAACCACGACTGCAGCCACCCAAATGAAGTATGGAACACTGCACAACACTTACAACTGTTGCTTCTTTGTGGTATGTCCTACAATCCGGGTACCCACTTGCTCTACCTTTGCTGGAATTCCAGAAATGGTGCAGTTTCTCTGTTACACTTTTTATAGCACCAACTAAATTTCAGCATTGTGCCAAGTTTCTTCTGACCCATCATTACATAATTTTTTGGGGGGAACAAAATTAGATATTGTGCTTCTTTTCTCCTTTATGGTTTCTCCAGCCAACAAATCTATCAAATTACATTTTTTTAATTATTTCACTCCAGTTTTCCATACTAGATGGGGAAGTGTTATGTTGGGTACAGGTTTGTGTACAGGTAAACATAATTCTGCTGTTATTGCTAGGTTACCCAACTGGCATGTAAAGTGCAGAAGAAATTTGATAAAATAATCTTATCTCTGCATTTCACTGCAAATGTAGTCCTATATATTAGCATTCAAAATTTTGGATCATGCCATGCAAAATTGCAACAGGAATTTCCAACTTCAAATCTCAACAGAACAAAACAATAAAGCTTCAGAACATTGCTGAAACTCTAATCCTTTAAAGCAGCAAGACAACAAGGTCTTTAAAGGTTAGCTATATATAAAAAAATATTCTTCAGTAGGCTTCAAAACTCGCTAATTTAAGTGCGAGCAGGATCTCCCATTGCTAGTCATAGAATTATCCTAATCTGAAAATCTAGATATAATGAACATATATTTTGTCTTATAAAGCTAGTAGAAAGCCTTTACCCTAGTTATCTGTATAATACAAAAAGAGCCACAATTGTTCTGCTTGATTTTTTTTTAAATCGATTAGACATTGATCCAGCAATTGTGAATTGCTTGCTCCAAACTCCTATAGCATTTTTGGGGGGGAACATCCCAAAATAAGAAAGAACTGAACTGAGAAGTATCTATAGCAACAAATCAGTAATAGCATTATTGTGATTGAATGGTCAAATATTTTGTGAATTCACTACACCAACATATCATTCCTCCCTGCAAGGGCCCAGTTGAACACACTCATGTAAAGGGATCTTCTTACAAACTGCCTATTTGTGCAATAGTAATTTTTAAGATTTGCCAGCCACCAAATTCTTACCAACTATCCTTAAGAGATATTTTAACTTCAATCACTCCAAGCCTCTATCCTGCATAAAGGACACTATATTAATGCAAGTTGTTATTGAGACCGTGATATTTGTTTAAGATAGAATCAGTTTCCCATTTAGGATTATCTTCCCTTGAAACAATTTACATTTGACTAGTTTCATCTTACGTGCTAGTTTTAGCCTGGTAACTCAGAATAAATCTCTCTAATTGTCCATTATAATGGATACCCCAAAAGTAATTTTAGAATGGCTTTAACAACATCAAAAACAACAAAATTACATTTGTATAGCACCTTTCACGTCGGGAGGACGTCCCAAGGCACTGGTTATAGTTAAGTATCATCTCTGAAAAAAACATTAAAACAGATCTCATGGATTTATAGATTTGTTTCCCCCTGCCCGTGGAAAATAAATATATGTTACCAGTGGAAGGCTAATAATTTTAAGAAGATTTAATTTTAAGAGGACTAGATTACAGTAAAAAGTACAGAATAAGACATTTAACATTAAAAAGCAAAAACAAGGAATTTAATCTTAAGAGGAAACATTTTTTAAAAAAGCATTAAATCATTTTTTACACGTCAAGGTGCAGTTTTAACAACTTGCACTTATATAGCACCCTCCACGCAGGGTAGCATCTCAGAGGGCTTTTACAAGTATCAGCAGCCCACAGTACCTCAGCCCTCAAGTAACTATTATTCATATGTGGGTTTAAACAAGAGCATCAATATCCCACCGAAATGTGATGCGAATCACAGGCATGTCCAATCAGTCTTCTGCACCATGCCATTACCAGCAAAGTCACTGTCAATGAATAGCAGTTCAAAGCACAAAGTATTTTTCTCTTAAATCAGCACGGAGGCTAACTATAGTGGGCTTACTATAACTCAAACTGAGAAACTAACAGCCCATTCTCAGCCTGTTATGCCTCACTGGACTTACCCACTTTGAGTCAAAGAAGCTTCATGTCTGACTTGTTATTATGCATCTAAACATGGCAAGATATACAATACTGCACAGAAAACAAATGGGCTGTAAAGGGTTAAGAAATATTTACTGGATCTATCCAATAAAACACTTCAAGGAAACAGAACTTAATGCTAAGGATGGAGTAAATTTTTGCCTATTGTTTTCCAAAATTAATAGTAAAGAGTACATTATTCATAACCCCTTTCGCATAGTGCATTTAGGTTGCTACTGTTTTAAGTACCGTACAAATATACAAGCACAATTTAACATTATCTGGAAAAGAATATACATAAAAAAACAAGGCCTTCAATCCAAACCATTGTTTAGGCCAGATCCAATTTAATCTGGTCACCAAGTGCTCCACGTTTGTTCCGCCACTATACGGCCTTTTGGACATGCACAAGTCAGTGTTCATTTTCTCTTTTTTTTAAAAAAAAGGTTTAAAACAACTGCACTCGTGAAAATACACATTTCGAGGCACATCCTGTCGAGAAGGCCTCGACAGTCACGTTTCTTCCCCCAGTACATCAGCCGCTGAAACAACCCTCTTCCTCTTCTAAGACAAAGGCTTCTTTTTAAACATACATCACATCCCCCCCACACACACACACACACCCCAACAACAACAAAAAACCATCAAACCTTCACTGCGGGTAATCGGGTTTTTCAAAAGAAAAAAAAACATATTAAAACCAATCTCAAAACTCTTTCTCCACCGCTGCAATGCGAAAATATAATTATCTTCCTCTCCCGCCCCCTCCAACTTTTATACGATCTAAATTATCGGTCGGTGACACCGCGCTGCATGGATAAACATACACGTATATAGAGATACAGAGATAGATATTATAAATATATATATATATATAAATATATACATATATATAAATATAAATAAAGTGAGGAACGAAACCAGGCCTCGCTGTAAAGTTTAAAGCCGAACCGGGTAAGACGATGATGATGATGATGATGGTGGTGGTGGTGGGGGTGAGAGGGGGGAAAACAGAGGAGGAGACAAAGCTGCAGTGCGTCAAACCGGCGGCGGCGCCTCCCGCAAACCGACCGACGCGGCTCCATCTTTTCTACCTCGAACGGAGACAAAAGAGAGCGCAGGCGGGGGAAGGGGTCCCCGGGGCTCGTGTGCGCTGGAAGCGAGAAGAAAGAAGGGAAAGCGGCGGCGGCGGGTTGGCGGGGGGGGTTGGGGGAGTTGGAAGGAAGGCTCGTGTCGGCCCGGGCCTCAGGCTGTGGCCCTGTCCGCCCGCCTTTCAGCCCCTACCTCGGCCTCTTCCTGCGCGCAAAGTGTCCCGCGTGCGGCCTGCTTTCTCGTGCCCGTGAGAGTGAGCGGTGGGGGGGAGGAGGGAAGAGTTCGACCGAGACGTGAAGGGTGTGGGGGGGGGGGAGGGATAAAGAGGGGGGGCGGGCGAGGGGGGGGGGGGTGTCGGAGACTGACCGGCGTTCACTCACTCACTCCACTCACCCGCCGCTTTGCAGCCAAAGATGGCCGACGGCCAGGCGTGAACGTCGCTGACGTCACCGCGCCGACCTGTCCATCAAAGGCTATCCGGGAGCCGCGCATGCGCCCGCACCCGCGCCGACCTGTCCGTCAAACGCTCCCTGTGAGCAGTGCACATCACACCTGAGGTCAGGGTAACAGCCTCTGGCAGTCGCATGACACCTAGGAAGTGGGCATGGAAGCCTCGACAGTGAAAGGGGACAAAAGAGAGTTCCTGACTCCTCTCTCTTGATCATACGTTTCATTATAATTTGCATCATACGCCATATAACGTAATATACTCCGATCTAAACTGCATTAACATAAGAAATGCTCGACGAAAACAGACCAAGGTCCATCTAGTTCACCTTCCACGATCCTGGCGGCCGCATGCACATATGTCCCAAACTACCTGTGAACTATATCCACAATATGCGTTGTGGTGCATTGTTTGCAAGCGAGAGACCCGAGTTTAATTCCAAGCAGGGCGAAACCTTGGGCAAGTTTCCTTACTCCACACGCTTAATAATAATCCCTCCAAAACAAAAAACAATAATAAATTGGTCATTTTCAATCTACGACTGTTTGCGGGACACTGCTGTGCGCAATTGGCTGCCGCGTTCGCTCACAAATATACGGTCAATTCACTTTACAGTATATTCTGTGAAGCGCTTTGAGACGTCTAGAAGGCGTGAAAAGCGCTATATCAAATGCAAGGATTATTATTATTATTGTTGGAGATGCACCTTCGAATGAGACATCCATGGACCTGTCTGCCTGTTCTTGCGGATGTTAAAGATCCCATGGCATTATTCGTAAAGAGAAGCGTGTTTCTTTCCATGATCCAGCCAACAATACTCCCAAGTAAAATTGGTTATTCACTTTATGGCTCTCTCTGTAACTTTACTGGGAGCAAATTAATTGCTGGATTAACCTACAAAACACAGTCATTACATATTGCAGTATTAATAATAATCCTTGCATTTAATACAGCTCCTTTCATATCGTCAAGACGTCTCAAAGTGCTTCACAAGATATACTATAAAGTGGATTATTGACTCTGTATTTTGTGAGCGAAATCCAGCACCCAGTTGCACACAGTAGTCTTTCAAACAGCCTTGGAGTGAGAGACGAATTGCTTTAAATTCGATAGTGCTATGGGATCTTTTACATCCATCTGAACAGACAGATAGGACTTCAGTTTAACATCTCATCCAAAGGACAGAATATCCAGTGAAGCATTTTGAGATGTCCTTGTGAAATGCAAGGTACTATATCAAATGACAAGGAGTTTGTCTTCTGTTCCCCTTTTCCCCTGAAAACATTTAACTATTTTTTCCTTCACAAAAACAGTTACTGTAATACCTCTAACAATTACTGTAAAGCACCTTCGAGATGTTTTGATATTTAAGGCAGTACAAATGCAAGTTTTTTTTATGATGTACCATGCCAAGGTTTCTTGTCCAACATCAGTTACAAAATATAAGGGAGCATTTCTGGCGTCCTCCAGTTCTTCATCTCCTAGCTGTTTGTGGGACATTACAGTGTACAAATTGACTGCCATGTTCATCTACAACAATGCTTAATATGTGAAGTGATAAGATGTTTTGTTGTGAAAAGATGCTATATCTCATACAAGGACTTATTTTTATTCCTATAATGTGTGGCTTAGTGCAAAATAGGTGGTGCAGATTAGGTGATTAAGGACAGCTGGTGTGTAGATATTGAAAAAAATATTACAATTCCAGAGATGTCACAGAAAAGGTCAGATTATTAGTTTGGATTACATGTTGGAACAAAATGCCCAGACATTTATAGTGTGTGAGCTTTACTCAAACTTACTATGAAACTGATAGCAAATAAATATTGTCTGTTTCATATTCATAGATAACATTGCTCAATTTCATAAGGTCAGTGGTACATTGGCATGGGCAAAATGGCTGCTCTAAATGCTTATAAATACTCATTGTGGAATCCTGTAGCTTAATGGTTAGAACACTCACCTCACAAGCGAGAGGACCATTTACTTAATAAAGCAGAAAGACAATACTTTTGCATTGGTTCAATAAGCATAGTTACAGTAGACAGGGTTTCGACAGACAATATTGCCTGTTATGCTCACGTATAGCATGTCACTGTAATGACAATATCAAAGTTCATAAGCAGTAGCGCAAACATCTCTCCCTTATCCTGCTTCTTGTTTCTCTTGTCTCTGGAACGCTGATCATAGCGGCTATTCAATCTCTTGCAGTTGTGTTGCATTGGGGTCTGGTCTTCTCCTTTACTTTTCTCTGATGTTGTTGGAGTTGTTGGAACCTGGAACAGTCGAGGTTGAGCGACTTGAGTCACAGAACCTCAGATAGATGTTCTGCCTTCCTGGAGGAGTGGAAAACACAGTTGCTCTCTCACTAACTCGAACTGAACACCTGGGATGATCAACTCAGAGTGAACAAAGAATAGATTAGCTATATCTCTTTTATCATTGTGCTTTTTTTCACACACAAAGATGATCCGTGTGAATCTGCACGTTCTCACCCACCTGATAGTGTTTAAGCAGGCAGGGACTGTCCTTGTGTGCTGATTCTGTTTAAAACAATGCAGGACCTTAACATCAACAATTAACAAGAGAGCTGCAGCTGTGATAAACTCACTTCTTTCTTCTGAACCAATTTAAATCTCCAAGGCACAAAATACTGACATTTTCCTACAACATTTTATCAAGAGTTATTATACAGATTACCCTGTACCTTGCTTAGATATAAATTCTACAATTCAGCTCAATTTAATTAACAATAATAATCCTTGCATTTGATATAGCACCTTATCACATTTTTGAGATGTCTCAAAGCGTTTCACAGAATATACTGTAAAGTGAACTGACTTAATACTTTTGTGGGCAAATCGTGGCAGACAATTACGCACAGCAGTGTCCCACAAACAATCGTGGATTGAGTGATCAATTTATTTTTAATGTTTATTTTTAAGGGATTATTACCCCCGGAAAAGTGATCCACCAATCGACTAACAACCAGGTTCCTACTTGGTGCTTGGTAAACAGAGGTGTGAGGAGTATGGAAACTTACATAGGATATAGGTCCTCTCGCTTGTAGTTCTAAAAGTAATTTCGATACTGACTGGCAAGCATAAGCAACCTTCACCCGATGAACAAAATAACCAATTCATCATCAAGATTATCATTCCATAGATCAGGTTGACACCAGCTAACAAGCAGGAGCATCTATTTCTGATCACAACTACACAGATGTGAACTTCAGATGTGATCTGAAGATAATAAAGGAGGGGGCAAAGTGAAGGAATTGGGGCAAAGAGGCTCATAGTTTTGGGTATAGTGGCACAGTTGCTGATGGTAGAGCAGAAGGAATGAGGGACATGCAGGAGGCCAGAGCCAGCTGAGTAAAGGGGACAGATAGAAGAGTGAGATGTAAGCGGATCAGAGAAGTGGGACGGTTCCAGGGAATGAAGTGATTTGTATACGAGTGTGAGGAATGATTACTGAGATTATATTAGTGACTGTAACACATTCTCATGAAATTGTCATAGCTAGAAATCCCTCAAAATACCCCCTAAGCAGTTTACAATATCAACGCATTACAAAGAAGTTTTTACGATTGAGTTACAAACCTCATGGCATTATTGACTTAGACAGATCAATTAATGCATTCCTCAAATGGATGAATTTATAATCTGCAATGACTGAGATTAGAACAACTCTGATTCTCCATTTAAGAGCAGTTGTGAATAACATGTTATTGGTTTTGTTTAGTCTACTTGTTGTTCTGTCAGGGCACTCCCTAGAGACAGTGAAAATACATTTAGTGCACAAAACAAAGGGTTTTTTCACTTAAGTGCCCGAGGCTACAATCAGAGATTGTAGAATTTCCTGTTTGGACAGTGGGCTAAAATCCCTATAAAGTGATATGAATCACTGTTTCATAAGGAACTGAGAGCAGCATTAAGCTGCTTTATAATGCATGTTTCTTGCACAATGAGCAGCAAACAAGACATTATGATACTCCAAGCCTCAATTTTCTATGAACGGGTCATTGCTTCCCAGTTTCGTTCCTTCCTCTCCTGCCACTCCCTTTACGAACCCCTCCAATTGTGTTTCCTTTCTGCCCACGCCACAGAACCAGCCTTGGTCAAAGTGACAAATGCCATTTTGTCAATCTGTAACCAGGGCTTCCTCCTCCTTGACCTCTTTGCTGCCTTTGACACCGTTGACCACTCTATCCTCCTCCACTGCCTCTCCTCTCACCTTAACCTTCATGGTTCTGCCCTTGGCTAGTTCAGTTCCTAAGTTTCACACCATCTCCACTTTGTCTCCACAAACAGCTTGTTCCTCAGGGTTATGTCCTTGCTCCTCTCCCCCTCAATATCTACATGCGCCCTCTTGGTGAAATCCTCAGACATGGAGTCAACTTCCACATGTATGTGGATGACACTCAACTCTCTGTCTCCACCTTCGACTCCAGGATCACATGCTGAACTGACAGAATGTCTATCACAGAGATTGAAGGAGGCCTAGCTCCAGAATCTTTGAATTGTAGGAAAACATGTTATGTGCATAACCCACAAATCCAGAGACCTTACTGCTTTTTATACATTGCTGTTTGCTGAAGGTAAACCCAGCTCAGTTTATACACTGTGGTTCTTTTGTTCCGTAAAAGGAGTAGGAAGGAATTAAGACAATACTGAAACACCATATGAAAATGTTAAATACATACAAAACATCAAACTACACTCACAGAGTCTCAATTATAAATTAAAATCTCTAACTCGTGGGTCAGTAAGTAAGAGTAAAATAAGAGTTGGACATGATGGGCTAGTTTCCAAGGTGAGTGGACAATAGATCATGTGGGGTAAAGTAACAAACTACTAACTTTTATAAATTCTAAACCAAAACATGTAAGTATTGGATGTAGAAATTGATCAGCCCTTTAGCCATTGTTTCTTTCTTCTCGAATATCTCTGCCATCGTATTGCTGCAAAATGATTAAATCAAAAACAAAGCATATTGTTCCA